CCATTTTGTCACATCTGCAAGACATCAGGACACCCACGCACGCACTGCCCGTCTCGACAGACAACACCACAGCGACAACTGCGACCTTCAAGCACCCAAGTTGCTTCGACACAAGCAAGCTCGACAACCACGATTCAAGCTTCAACGACCTCAACTGGACAACCTGCACAAGGAGCAAGACATATAGTCAACTGCATGGTCAAGATAACCGACTCTTGCATAACAGAGTCACCACCCCATTACTCACCGGAAGAGGAGCTCGACAACAGGACGCCTCGTCGCGAATCACTCCATCCAAATCCGACTTACGCCGCTATCGCTCAAAGTGAACCGTCCGGCCAAGACACCTGGTTCTTGGACAGTTGCAGCGGGCAACACATGTGCTCGTCCGGGCGTTTCGTACAACGCGAACATCGACTCCAACGGGAAGTGATCATCACGGTTGCCAACAACCAAAACCTGCGCACACGAAGACAAGGAGTGGTACAGCTTCAGTCAAGAGAAACAAATGTCATACTGCACATGTCTAAGGTACTCATCGCTGAAGGACTCGGCTACAACTTACTGAGCGTTAGCCAGTTGATGGCGAAAGGAATTCATCTTGAAGCCGACAGCACGACCCAGGAGTTCAAGCTTTACCACGGGAGAGGCGGTCTCTACATCGGGAAAGCAGTGCTGAAGAACAACGTCTTCGTCCTCGACTTCGCTCCCGACCTCGGCACTGCAGACAGCGACGCCATTGTGAACTTTGCTGATTGGACACACCCTCCGGATCTCGACCCCGACTTCAGCCCGGGAGGTTTCTGGTACTCCCACACTATCCCTGAAGCAGAACGAACAAGAGCGTTAGCAACGATTCAACAAGAAGCAGAGACGACAACATCGGCAGCAGCGACAACATCGGCAGCAGCGACAACATCGGCAGCAGCAACAACATCGGCAGCAGCAACAACATCAGCAGCAGCAGGAACAACGACACCAGTCACAGTCGACGAAGCACCACCAACACCCGCGCAACAGCTGAATCCGACTCAACGTGAAGTCCACCGAAGCGCCAGCCTCGTCGCCGGCTTTTACTCCAACTCCGACGCATATCAGCGTTCACCTGGACACCGCGCCTCTGAAGAGATCTGGCACGCACGCACAGGACATCCAAGCAACACGGTTTTGAATAACACGATAAGAGCAGGAGTCCTTGACAAAGATTCTCTACTTCTACCCGATGGCAGAGAACTCCAGAAGGCACGAGGGACTTGCCTTATATGTCCCGAAGCTGACTTACCTCATCGACCGTTTGCTTCACATCACAACCCGAGCGCTCCAGCGTACGCACCACTCGAAAAAGTCTACAGCGACATCCTCTACAATCGCGAACCAGGACAAGTCAACTACAACTACACCATCACCTTCATCGACGCCGCCATTCGATACGTCTGGCATCGCAACCTACCCAGCTGCGACATGGCGCTCGCAGCATTCGCCGCCTGGCTACCGATAGCAGAGAGAGAGTCTGGAACACAACTGAAAAAATTCCAGTCAGACGGAGGTGGCGAGTACACCTCTCAGCGCTTCAAGCAGTTCTTGGCGGAAAGGGGGATCAAGCAACTCCTCTCCCTTCCCTACGCACATCAGCAGCAAGGTGTTGCAGAACGACTGAACAGGACCCTGCAGAACAGCATGCGCAAACTGTTACGTGGCATGCGGCTACCCAACCACCAGTGGCCAGCAGCAATGGACCACGCTGTCATGCTACACAACTTGTTGTCGTCGTCGTCACTCCCGAACAACGCATCACCGCATCTGCTGTGGACAGGGAAGCAGGGCAGCACAAAAATGTTACGAGTTTTCGGGTGCATGGTACAGTACAGACCCCCAGAAGCACGAGCGGGAAGATTTTCGCAACGGGCACAGTGGGGACTACACCTCGGCATCGAGAAAAATTACAACGCATGGAAAATCTTCGACGTCCACACAAAGGAAACAGTAGCAGCACGTGACGTGATCTTCTACGAAAGACTCACCCTTCAGACGTACCTCGCCAACTTGCACGAGAATCGGGACCTCACCAGTGGTTTTCGTGGTGACCGAGCCTTCGCGTCAGCAGCGGACGAAGCAGACTGGGATGAACAGAACGTCGACAACGCCTCGGAAGAAGCCGGACCTCTCCCATACTGCTCCGTCGACGTGCCCATGGATGAGGATAATCCTCGCGACAGTAACAACGCCGAAATCTTCTACCGTTTCGCCGACGATGGTTACGTAACACCTGCGACAGTCAACACCAACGAAGCAGAAAGGGTAGGGCCAAATTTCATGCCCGACCCAGAAACGGGAGACGAAGCAGCTTATCCCGAGGATCCAGAACTCCCTCGATACTCACAGACTGGGCTGCAGATCCTTGGTCTCGTCACCGCAGTCCATGGCGCCGGCATTCCTGAGGAGCCTGCGACGGTTCAGCAGGCTTTGGGGGGGGAACACAGGGAGAAATGGCGTGAAGCTATGGACAAAGAGCTGAAGGCACTGGAGGAGCGCAATACCTGGAAAATTGTTCCCATCGGCGCAACTCAAAATAAAAACATTCTTACCGGGAAATGGGTCTTCCGTGTGAAGACGAAAGGTGATGGCACCATCGACAAATTCAAAGCCCGCTGGGTCGTACGTGGCTTCGACCAAGAGCACGGAAGAGATTACACCGAAACCTTCGCTCCGGTCAATCGCCACACCTCACTCCGAATTCTCATCGCCGTCGCCGCCATGAAGAAAAAGAAATTGCGACAAATCGACGTTGCGAACGCATTTCTCTACGCACCTGTGGATGCAGAAATCTTCGTTGAACTCCCGCACGGCTCCCACGGCGAACCCAACCGAGTGTGTCAACTACTCAAATCACTCTATGGGATCAAGCAGGCACCGCGACTGTGGCAGCAGTACCTACACGCCTGCCTCATCCGCATCGGCTTCAAACAACTCCCTCATGACCAAGGCATGTATCGCCTCACAAAAGGAGGCGATTACGTCCTACTAATCGTCTATGTGGACGATCTCCTCTACATTGGGTCAACCGATGACATCGCCACGTGGTTCGAAGGGGAGCTCCAGAAAGACCTCACGCTCACGGTCTCTTCTACGGTTACGCAATACCTCGGGCTCAACATCCGTGAGGAAGAAAACGCAATCTACCTAAGCGCCGAGAAGTATGCCGACACTATCGCGAAACGCTTTCGTCTCACACCAAGCGCCATCTCCACGCCTTATCGCTACGCGTCAGGAACCGAAAAGGGGCAATCTACTCTACTTAAACCCTCCGGCATACGCGACTATCAGAAGAAGCTCGGATGCCTTCTTTTCGCAGCAGTCGCATGCCGTCCCGACCTATCCTACTCCGCGAGTCAGCTCGCTACCTATCTCAAGAGACCTGAAGCAGAGCATCTGGCGGAACTCGATCGTGCTCTCCACTACTTCGTCAGCACCGCGACGATCGGACTGACTTATCACAAAAACGTGACTACACCGACCAAGCTAATCGGCTACGTCGACGCCGATCACGCCGGCGACACCGACAACAGGCGCTCACGCACCGGCTATGTCTACCGCCTTGAGCCTATCGGTCCTATCTCCTGGCAGTCGAGCAAGCAGGAGTTAATCGCACTATCTTCAGCAGAAGCAGAATATATTGCACTCTGCTCAGCCACCAAGGAGGGACTTTACCTTCGCGAACTACTGGAAGAAGCGAAGCTAGCCGAGTTACCCAGCTTCACCGTGTTCTGCGACAACCAGTCGGCAATTCGCATCGCCAACAAAAACGGCTTCGCAAACAGGACGAAACACATCGCCCTGCGCTATTTCTTCGTGAAGGACGAGATAGAAAAAGGGAAACTCGATCTGTCATACTGTCCAACATCCGAGATGGCAGCCGATTACTTGACCAAGAAACTCAGAAAGCAGAAGTTCGAATACTGCATGATGCTGACTGGACAAGGCCATGTCACCAGCAGTGACACTCCAGAAGCGAAGGGGAGTGTTGGAAACAATAAGTCCTAAGTGCGCTTATGTCGTATCAAAATCCAAGGTACCAAGCGAAGCAGTCCCAATCGAAGCATCGAGTCAACCTCGGAGGTTAGGGTAACCGCCTGGAGGTTACGAGAAAGTCAAAGGTCGCTGACCTTTGACTCGACAATTACAGCGCGACAGTTAAGGACACACAACTGACTCGTTACAGAGCAGTTGCCCGAGTCGCGCTATATCGAACCGCAACAGCAATACAGTTATCTATCTATCTATTCGTATTCCCTGTACTCTTATATAAATCCTTGTATTTGCTTGTTTAATTCAATCTACTTTGTTCTCACACACCAGTACAAGGTCGGTTCACAATCCTCATTAAACGCTTCCGCTATTACAAGTTTTCTACCCAAGAGTTCTCCTCTGCAAAGATCCTAAGGGCTATTTCTCAGCCCAACAGGTCCTAGGTTACGCGTGATTGACGGCTCAGGTACACGTACTAGCGCAAATCGTGGGTGTCGGTGCCAAGGTACATTGAATCAGTTTCAAAGTCGGTAAGCATTTGACTCTGAATTATCGAAGTACACTAAAAAAAATCTCTTAAATTGCAGAGTTGGCTAAAAAAAACTCTGAATTTAACTGACAACACTAAAAAAAAAGTATGAGAAATCAGACTTTTATAGGCATATCAGAGAAATTTCTCTGACTTTATGGGGCCTGCTCAGGACTCAGGGATTTAGACAGGCCTGATCAAGATATTTAAATTAAATCCCATAAATATTAACTCTGCCAACCTGATCTGCTAGAATCACAGGTCACTTCGTGTCTGACCTCATGTCAGACACAAGCCAAGAATGACCCTTATTTCAGTTCAACTATTTCAGCTCGGGTGAGTTCAGAACTCCTTTAGCAGCAGTATCATTACAGCCTCCTGAAGAAAATTGAGTGCAAACAGTAACCTCAAAGTAGCTTGGAAAATATCAGGCTTCCTCTAAGGTCTACTTGGTCTGAACAAAAGCAGAAAGAATGTTCTTGCGGATGGTGAAGTCATCGGCCTTCTCTGGCTTGAGGGACTGCACAGGACACCACATGTTATATGCGAGAGCATGGATGGAGAAGAGAAACAAATACGGTACATCTTGAAGAAGAACGCAAACGCAATGCACGCTAAATCTAAGTCAATCAAGCATGCACACAGAACAACAATAAACCAGGTGACTGAACGGTTGATATGCTGGCATACTCAGAAAGGGTTGTGGGAAAGGAAAATGATGCATGGGAGCTGTAGGGACTTCAAGTGATACGCACCCCTGCGAGCACGCGGGTGAGGCGAGCCGCCTCCTTCTCTGCATAGTCAGTTCCCTTCTCAATGATGTTCTTCATGGTCTTCACGTAGATCGCAGCATGCCTGGAGCGCATGCATGAACAAATTATAAGACGGGAACCAGAAGCAATGGATAAGAAAAGGGTTGGAACATGTGACACCTACTAGCCAGGCACAGGTTGCTTGTGACCTTAAATTGGCTCTTTGAATGCTACCTTACTCAGACGCATCACCCGACCATAAAACATATGCATAAAACCTATGCACCGCAAGCCCTCCTCTTCCCCACTATCTTACTCACCAGTCAACTAACCGATCGCCATCCTAACACACCCCAACACTCTCCTTGCCAACTGTTTCACACTCAGAAGCACAAGGTACGAAGCAGTACCACGCAATCCCTGTAATCCTCGCCCACCCAGGACTCACTTGGCCTTGTCGTCTGCCACCTTCACTGCCTCGGCCTTTGCCTTGAGACCCGCCCAATCACCCTCCTTCGCAGCAGCGAAGGCAGTGGCAATCTCGTCCAGCTCCGCAATGCGGCCCGCCTGTCAGCCGTGGGGGAGGGAGGGCGCGCGCAGACAGTGAGTGGGGCAGAATGGGTGGGGAAGAAAATACAGCACATGCAAGATACTGCACTACAACACTTGTGCAACTCTCTCAAATATAAGAAACTCAACTGTGCGGAAAAATTCACCATGCATTCAACTCTGCACCCCTCTAATCAGCTCACCGTCTCGAGGAGGCTGCCAGAGACGGTCCTGCTGGTGCCGGTCTTCTCGTTGATGAATTTGACGAAGTCCGCCAGGTCCCGGCCCTCGTTGTAATCCTCGCCGTCCTTGTTGCCCGCCGGGAACCACTTGATCGTGGGGAAACCCGACACACCGTACCTGGACAGTGGGGATCGGGAAGGGGGGAGACCGACCAAGGAGAGGGCACGAGAGGGCGCTTGTGAGTGAGAAATATTTGCGAGTCAGTTGCGAATAAACTACAATTCCACAATAATCCCAGAGGACGTGTGTAATGTGGATGAAATCAAGACTGAGTCACAGAAAGAGAGCACTCACTTCTCGCCCAGGGAGCGGTGCGAGTCAGCATCCACCTTGGCGATGACCACGTTCTTGTCCGCCTTGAACACCGCTCCCAGCTTGTCGTACGTCTGCACACGGGAAGTGCAGGCGAAGGCGTAACATGGGTAAGTAAAAAAGACGTAGGATGTCATGGGGTTGAAAGTGTTAGATGAGCACGGGAGCAACCCGAACAGCCAAGGAGCAACACGGGCAGGGAAAACAAGTCGTAAGAACAAGGAGGACGCATGGAGAAGAGAAACGAATATCAGGACAGAGGAGGTGAGGGAAGGGAAAAGGTCGGAAGAAGAGTAGGTTTCAAAAAGGGACGAGTGGAAGGTTCAGAGGACAAAGAGATGACTTACAGGAGCAAGAGACTTGCAGTGGCCGCACCTGCAGATAGGGGAGAATCCGCACATCGAAACAAGGTTGGACTGTGTTTTAAGGCATTAGAAAATAAACACAGGTAGAATGTAATAAAATCAGCACAATACAACTTCATGTGGAGATTTTTTGCACGAAACAGGAGCAGGATTGCTGTTGGACACAGAAGGAGGCTCTCACCAAGGAGCGTAGAACTCGACGAGAGCGTGCTTGGAGGTGTCAAGAACCACCTTGTCGAAGTTGGACGGGTCCAGTGCAAGCACATGCGACACAGGCGCAGCGATCTTCACGTGTGTCCCTGCACCAGAAGGCTCAGAGCGACAAATCAGATTTGCTTCCAAGAGGAATCTTACCAAAAGAGGTAAGTCGATCAAAGAATGAGAGATGCGTGGAAAAAGACAAACGCACCGATCTTCTCGTTGACAAACTCGACCAGATCCGATACCTCTCGTCCGCCTTTATAGCTGAACACAGGAAACAAAAGGAATGATAAATTATAAATAAAAAGCCCTGAAGCAAACAATATCTTACGATACGTTTTCACCAAAGCAGGTTTGACGAGCATCAACAACGGTGATGACTTACTCTTCAGGCTTGGACTTGCCAGCCGGGAACCACTTGAGCGTGGGAAAGCCGCTCACACCGTACTTGCTGCACAAATCCTTGTGCTCGTCGCAGTCCACCTGAAAGCCCAAAAATAGTAACGGAGAGGATTTACGCTCATTGCTTGCCATTACCTTCCAGGAGTTCAACAAATCGTACAAGCCGCCAACATCTTCGTCCACTTTTCTACTGATTAGGTGGTTGCCTTGTGTTCGATAACACAATGCTCCGAATGCAGAACAGGTCGACTGTACGGACCAGTAGCTTACCTTGGCGATGACGACAGACTTGGTCTTCTTGAACGCGGTGGCGAAGGTCTCATACTCTGGGGCCAGCTTCTTGCAGTGACCACACCTGAATGAGAATCATTGTGAGATCCAATTAATCAAAATTGCACCTCTTAAAAAAAAGCAACCAGATTTAGATCCGCGATCTACTTCGCCTTCTTTTACTGTTTATTTAAATTTTCCCCTGTATAGGTTCTTCTCCCAATACTCACCAAGGAGCGTAGAACTTGACAAACGCGGCCTCCTCCTTGCCGACATAGTCGTCGAAGTTGTCATTGTTCAGAGTGATGACGTCGGAATCGCCGTCGGCAACCGCCACGGCGAACAGTGCCGCGAGGCCGAGACCAAGGAGAAGGATCTTCGATGGCGCCATCTTGACGCGACACGCAAGAAATGAGTGGTTACTGGCAGCCTGATAGAAGTCCCAGATTCTACAGCATGGAGCAATGAGATATCTGGGTGAATTTGAAAAATAGATTGAAGGCTTGGAGCAGGTGAGTTGGTGCGATGGGATCCAGAAACGGAATGAATTTTGACGTGTCTGTAGCCCTGTGATTGGTCCAGATCTGCACTTCGGCCCCCAAGTGGTAACGGAGAGAACAGCATATTCGCGCTATCATTTAGTACAAGGAAACAAGGCACTGCAAATGATCACATAAGTCAACAAACAAATATCCTGTTGGAATAGTACAACGACTTATCAGTAGTGAAGTAGTTGACATCCAAGAGAGGGAACCCAAAATCACCTGCAAAGGAACAATCAGTATCAACCACAGCAGTTTTAGACTCAATGGCCAGCATGCTCTGAAAAATACGGTAAGAATACCCACTCTCATAGATAGTGTGGGTAAGCTTGAGCCCTTCACAAACCAGCTCTTCATGCAAGATGGACTTCGGAGTTGTCTCAAGAATGTGAAGGGATCCTATGAGAAAGAACAAGTATAGAGGCCAAGAGAAAGCGATATTGTATAAGACAAAAATTCCATAAACGATTTCAAACATTGTAGCGTAAAGCATGCTGACGAAGTATGTGTATGGCGATGGATGTTGCCAAATCCCCACCTGGCAGGTATGTGTCAGAGCCAAGGAACCATCCCACAGCAGATTCAGTGCAGGCTGCTGTCCCTTCCCTAGTGCTCGTGCCAACTCTCCCCTTTCCACCTAGACTGCTGCTGCTGCAACTGCTGCCACTCCTGCTGCTGGCGCCAGTGCTGCGGCACCAGCTGGCATGGAATGGAGCGAGCCAAAGAATGTTCCGGAAGCTCATGGAACCATCGTACGGCACGGGGGAGCCTGCACGAGGCATGGGGGACATGCATGCATGGATGCATAAATGTATGGACATGGGGTGGCATGCTGAGACATTGGCATGGTTACATGGTTGTGAGATAGAGGATATGGGGTGCCTGAGGTGCGAGCAGGGAGACGGGAGTGACAGGAGGGGTTTGATGTTCTTGTGTCCACGCACTTGCCTGATTGGCAGAAGCCAAGGTTAACTGGAAAGGAGTCGCTGCAGTAAGCAGGATACTCCTTGGCGTGGAACCTGCATAAGACAACACATTACCAAAGCAAGGGCGTGCATGAGGATAATCAAAACCAGTGCAGTGCAAAGTGAAGATAGATATCAGGGTTACAAGCGCCGGCGGATAGGATTTCTGAGACGTCCCAAAGCTCGCCACAAGTCTAGAGGTGGTATGGGCGGATGGCTTACAGCGCACCGAGACGACCAGAGGAGTGGGCGGCGAAGAGATGGCAGTGGAAGAGATCAAAACGGGAGAGATGGATGGTGGAGGGTGCAGTGGGAGGCGAGGAGGAAGGAAGGGAGGATGGCGAGGAGGAAGAGAGGCAGGAAGGGGAGGAAACAATGGCTTGAGACGAGAAGCCTGCTATGGTGTGGAAGAGGAGGGCAAAGAAGAGATTGACGTCCTGGTGATGGTCAGGGGGGGTGGAGCACGGAAGGATGGGAGGAGAGGAGAGCAAATAAGAGATTGACATCCTGGTGAATGGTGATGGGTGTAGGGGCGTTGGGAGTGAAGCATGGAGGGAAGTAGGGCACAGAGGGAGGAGACGAGGAGAGCATGGGAAGAGGAGGGATGAGAAATGAGGAGGCAAGGCACAAAGCCATATCGATTTCTTCATAAAAAAAAAAAACACCCTGCTGATATTCCTCACTTGGTATACACAGCATGTCCACTCTCACACTGACCTTACATTGTCTTTAAATCGGTAGAAGACGGTCGAGCTGGTGAGCTGACACCTGGCAGCAACAGAGCCGTCCACGTCAGGCACCTGATGGGGATGAAAGCAAAGAGCAAAACATTAAGAGCGTGGCGAACCGTCACAACTCAGGAAAAGCGTAAAGTGTGATTGAAGGGTGGATTGCCGAAGTGCGGCATGAGGAGCAGTAAAAGTAACAAGAAGGGCCTTTAATGATAGTTGGAGATGACTCAACGCTTGGTTCAGGAACGAGGGTTTTATAGATCATGATTCTAAGTCAGCTGCTACAGCAAGGGTTCGACTCACGGAGAGTGGTAGTGGAGTGAGAACCTCTCTCCGAAACGCTTCTCGAAATTCTGATAGCTGCGATCGACTAGGACCGTCACAACCAGCAGCATCAGACGCTTGAGAGGAATCAGATGCATAAGGGGAATTCGAGGCAGCAGGAGGAAAGGTGGCGGCGGTGAGGGCGGCGAGACGCATGAGAGCAGGAGGGGGATGGGAGATGAGCGAGTGGACTCGACGGTTGAGATCATGCGCGGCACAGCCCTTGCTGCGCCGAATGAATCTCCTCTTTCCCGCTTTTCCCTTTGCTCCTCTGCCATTGGCTCCTATCCTGTTCGCCCCTATCCCTTTTGCTCCTCTCCTCTTTGCCCATCTCCCCTCTGCTCGTCCCCTCACAGCAGCGTTCTCAAGAGCACAGACCAGCTGCAAGGCTGCGTCCCTGTCACTGCTCCCAGCCAGCACGTCACCATCCTCCACCCCCCTAGTACCAACCCTGCTGCTATTGTCAGGCTGAAGCACAGGCAGCAAGCGTTGCAGCAGTGCCGCTCTCCTCTTCCTCCTGTTTCTCAGCTCCACCCCTCCAGTCCCCCTCCACCTCCCACGCTGCAACGCACAGCTCAAGAGTGAGCCAGCAGGAGAACTGCTCTGCCTGACGTTTAATCCGCGGTCGAAGCTCTTCCGCTTGCTGAAAAGGCGTCTCAAACCGCCTCTCAGATTGTCTCTTGGGTTGCCTCTTATCCTGCCTCGTAGACTGCCTTTTAGATTGCCTCTTGAACCACCTCTTAGCCCGCCTCTCAGCCCTACACCGACACGGTCACCTCTGAATCCGCGACTACGTCCCTGCAATCGCCTACTCCTGCACCAGCCGTCGAACCCAAGCTCGCCGCTCTCAATCACAGAAAGCAGGTCCCGCGCGCACTCCTTCCCTCTCGCTCTGGCTTGAAGAAACTTCTGCTCGTCCCACACCCAGTCACCCTCCTCCTCGGGACTCTCAATTGACCCGTCTTCCTCTTCCTCCCTCTCTTCCTTCTCTGCGTCCCCAACTTCCGGTTTGTCCCCTTCCTCCTGCTGCTCCGAATTGGCGAAACAGCCGTTTTGCGTGAAAGATTTCGCCGACCAATCCTCGTCCTCTGATTGGCTGTTAGCATCAGACTCGCGCCGCTCAGAACTCTCGCTCAAAGAGACGTTCACACTCCGCGCCAATGTCTCCTTTGAACCGACCTGATGCTGCTCACACACCTCTGAAGCAAGAGCTAACCCATCTGAACCGGATTTTTCGCCAGGGATAAGAGCAGCGAAGAGAAAACGGAATTTACGACCAGAGTCGCGTTTAATTGTCACCGAGCGGAGAAAAGAGGAGAGATCCCGACCAGAAATAGATGGTGAGTGGGAGTGCTGACGCGTGAAAGCTGCAGTAGGGTCCCCGAAACGTGCGGTGAGACGGGATTCGACAGAGAATTCTGGAGCGGATCGCACGGAGCTGGCCGCTGCACGAATGCGAGGGCAAGGCGACGCAGCTGGAGGATAACTCCCTCCGCTGATCGCGCTCGTGCGGAAATGTGCGGTGGGATGGGGTTCGGTAGGGTTTTCTGCAATGGTTCTCAATGGTGTGGCTGCTGCATGAATGCGAGCGCAAGGCAGCGCAGCTGACGGAATGATCCCTCCGCTGATCACGCTCGTGTGATTCCTAATGCATCTGACGCCTCTACTGGCAGCGCTGATAGATTTGCCAGCAGCATCGATATTGCCGCGAGGAGGATTGACAACGCCGCCAGCAACGTCGATATTATTCATCAACCCAAAACTGAGGAAACTTTTGCTGGTTGGAGAGGTTGTTGCTGCCGCTGCTGCTGTGGCTGCTGCGAGGGTAGTGCTCACAATCGGCATTGGAAACGAAACCACCGAGCGCGGTCGCGGGGAAACCTGCGCTCGCCAGACGACTGCCAAAGGGCTGCGATATTACCCCAGCCTAAAGCGGTTCACGAACCCTCGGTTCCGGGACGCAGAAGGAGCAACTAGTGTTTCAAAAGAGCAGCGATGGCGGCTGGTTTGAGGGAGGTGGCAAAGCGCTCTTCATGTAAGGAAGCAAAAAGGAACGGGAGCGAGAAAAATTTCTAGAACCGAGGTCCTACCGAGAATTGAACTCGGCCTTTCAAATTCAGAGTCTGACGTCATAACCACTAGACCATAGGACCACGAATACGATTAAATGTTTTAATTTCTTGTTTGTAAATTCAATACATAATGCTAACACCGTTAAAAGTAGTTGCATCTGCACTAATGCAGCACAAATATACGACGAGAACCTAATACTTAATAACAGCTTCTTATTTATCACATGATTTCACTTAAAGGAGAATCACTTCTGATCTTAATCTGGACTAACTGTACAGGTCAGCAGTGGAAAATAAGATCAGTGCACCTAAGGTAACACCTGCAAAGACGGGAACTACAAAAGAAAGGGTAACAGGCATGGAGTAGAAGAGTGGAAGGGAGGAGCAGCCAGTGGAGTCGCCATGTGGTTAGGAGATCAGCGGCTTAGAATGCCACATCAGTGTTCAAACTGGCCAGTCGAAGTAACTCTCGCACTCGATACTGGTTAAAAGAAATCCCAAATGCTTGTACTGCCGCTTCACGCGATCTCCACCAGTCAGTCAGTCCACTTGAAATTTGCAGATCGGCGTTAAAATTCCGCAGATCGGCGTGTCGCATCGGCCAAACCGAGCCATTAATTCGTCAGACTGGAACGGCCAAAAGCATTTGCTGCATTCGCTGCGACGCAAGAACCAATCGGCGCGTTAACGCATGACGGTCACGGATGGCGGGCAACGCTTTGCGAGGGGCTCCGGGACATTGAAGCGACACAGAGGTGTCCATAGTGCGACGTTGGGCAACGGGAGTGACGCATGCCGCGACCGATTCCGGCGACGGCTGAATATGCTGCCTCGACGACAGCGGAGTAACTGGAATATCACTTGTTGTGGCACGATCATGAATCACCAGAGGAGAGAACAAGAAACTCGGGACGCCAGCATCAGGCTCCTCCATGCATTCTGAACCAATCTGAAGCCCACGAAAGGATCCTGACGGTTCGAGCAGCCTTCCTGAAGTTCCCACGTCATTGGAATCGCTGGCGCTTGTTGCAGGCTCTTGAGGTCTCTCAGCTTGCTCGCCTTCATTCGCAGCCGCAAGCGACGGAAGCGGAACTTCGCCATGATCGCGCATGGTCCCCGGTTCAGATATGCTGCTCCTCTTCAGGACGTAAGGAGAATATCGGAGCGCCCTTCGTCTTCGACTTCGGATGTCGACAGCAGCATGAGAGATTGAAGTCAGCGACGGGGTGCTCTCAGGAGTCATGTCAGCGTTTACCAAGTCTGGAACCTCTGGAGTTTGCACCGCCACGGGCATCGCCACTTTGCCAATCTCAGGTATAAGCTCGCTCGAGCTGTTGAATAGTGGTACTAGGCTATCGGAATAACGCGGGGAACGTTTCATGGCTTTTCACGTGACACAGTTTGCAGACGCTAAACACAGAACCAGGAGAAGCGGTGAGTCAATCTTGAATGCTTTCGGCCAGGGTGCTCAGAAAGTAGACTGTTGCCTTTCCATGGATAAGAGCTGTGTATCTAAAACAAAGTGTGGTGGCGGTGGAGTGGATGGGATGGGAGACAGAGCAGCCACTATCTTGGGGACGATGGACACCTCTAGAAGTGAATCGTAAAGCCGACGCACACCAGAAAAACCTGACGCAGGGGTGCTCGTTGAACAAATCCAGAGAACTCAGCTTCCCCAGCCAATGGCTATTTGCCAGGGAACAATCGAGACGGGTTCAGCGCAGACCAAACAGAAAGGAAACTGGGTTACTGGGAAGAGACGCTAGCAGGTTGGGGCATATGGCTGTGTTGGTTCGGTGAAGCTTGAGGCCAACTTGGGCTAGGCGTGGGAGGCAAGGAGAATGGCTGGGCTGGCTTGGTTTGGCTCATCCAACTATCTGTCCGCTTTGCTGTAACTATCTGCCTTGTCTGCTCAATCTGCCACGTCTTCTTCTGCAATCTCCCGTGCTGTGGTCCCTCGTTTGCTCTGCCTCTTTTCCGTCTTGTTGACTGTTCACAGGCTCGGGAGCTGGTTACCATCTTCCAATAAAGGTCGCACGCGCGGGCAGCAGAAAAATAACGTTGTCGGCTCCCTCCCTCCCTCATCGTCCACTGCCAGCTGTGTTTGACAACCAGCTGTACAGTACTGGACGGAATTGGAAGCGGGACGGATGGGCGGACGAAGCGATGAGTTGACAAGGTCGAAAATTTGGATGTCTATTGGTGAAATGAAAATGCACGAAGCTGCACGAAAGTGGTAGAACAGAACGACACCGCAGATGTGCCCCCTCATTGTCGGTGAATCGTGGGCGTCCAGGTTCAAATTGACATGAGAGATTCATCCGTCCCGTCAAATGCAACATTCAATGCTCCCCTGCAGATTCGCACCAGAGTGCACCACACGTCAGACTTGGTGCAGGCAACTATGACATCAGAAAGTGCAAGGATGTGCTGGCAGGTGGCACCCAAAGCCACCCAGAGAAATCGTTTTACACAGTTCGAAATCAGACGTCTCTATTCATATTAACCTACGTTATTTCAAGTTATGTCCTTGTTCGTTATCCTAGCAACTGTACATCCCGCTTTGCTTGGTGGAGTTGAATCGGAAGGCAACCCCCTCAAACACAAAATGAGGGACCCATTTTTTTCTGCTGAAGGGGAGCTTCAAATAACATTCTACCCCCTGTCGGCGATGAAGAGGGGTGGGTGCTTGAGTGGCACCCATCTTACTGGCGGGATTTCACCTCACCACTGCATCCAAGCTTGGCACGAGACCTATGGTGAAGTAATGATTCCCTTGCAGGAGGATACTTGTGACGTCAGCAGCAGCTTCAGTTCGATACCAGCAAACTCAGGTTAAACTACGACAGTACACTTCCCTGCCACTTTAAACAAAAGCCACCTTGATGTTTTCTTCTCATCGTAATGAATCACCAATTCAGCTGCAGATTCTCAGGACCTGTATGGCCATCTCCGCCGATTCCGCGTGCCGTGCTGGCGTTCGACCAACGCGGGCGATTTGCATGTTGATTCATCCAGCGGAAAACATTACATTTCTCGCGACATGAGCTATGCCGTTGTAGGGGCCAGGTTTTTGGCCGCTTGTCGCGAGGCACGTGCTCGTTGACAGGGCGTGATGTCGTCGCTGCGCAGCATGCACGATGATCCGCTCGCGCGGGGATGTGATTGAAGGGAGAGAAGCAGCCAGCTTCTCGAGGTGTGATGTTTCCAGATGCCAGCTTAGTATCGTCGTGAGCATAGTTCGCATCGCGCTCGCTCCCTCGAAGTTTGATGTCTCGCTCGCAATCCTGTGCAATTAGTAGAAGACCTGGGAACGCAGTTCCCTTATACCGCTCTCGTTCCTGCTCGCCCTCATCATTCGGTCTTTGCTCTTCTTACACCACTTTCCGTCAGTGTATCCTCCATCTGCTGTCGTGTTCGTCAACATGGCTGTGCTGACTCTTCTAACCTTGTTCTGCGCTTTGGGTAACCCATTTTTCCACCCATTTCCGTTGCGAGTCTCTTTAACTTCCCCTCTCTTTAACCACTCTATGTTCTCCTTTCTCTCATCATCCGTCCCTATCATCCAATCCCCTTGCATGTTTCCCCATTCTCCCCCTTTCCCTGAATCCCCCTTCCCCCCCCACTCCCTCCCCGCTCCCAGCATCCGCCTGCGCGCAGAATCTACCGCGCCCCGGCCCAGTGGCAGCAGGAGGGGGTGTCGGAGTGGCGGGGGGGGGAGGGCCCGGGGGAGCTGCAGCCGGAGGGGGAGGCGGAGCAGCGACAGGGGGGTTGGGGGGACCCTTTCCACGAGTGGCGCAGCAGGGGCAGGGGGGAGAGCCTGGACAGCTGGGGGACCTCTATGGTGCGCTGATTCGTTTGTCTCTTGTTGTGGTTGTGTTATCTCGTGCAACCCCATGCCTTCGTGGTTTTTTTCTCCTCGACTTCCAGTTGTCCCTTCCTTCCGATTTGTCTTACACATACTTTATTTGCTGGTACTGTTTTCCATAAAGGTCGTCAGACAGTGCACTGCGCTGTACTTATCCAATCATTGTTTGCCATGTGGCAGCCCATCTGGACGCTGAGCTGGAAGGTCAGCAGAATGATGATATCGAAGGGCATGTGCACGTCTTTGCCTTCAGGTAACACAAACACATCAGCCAGTTTCAACAAGAGTTCATTTGTGCATGTCCTTCAGTAAGGGAGAGCACCTTGAGGGGGCATGTAATGTTCCACATGTGTCCTGACGGATGATCCACCCATCTCCTGACCTGGCTGCACAAAGCAAGTTGGTCAGCGTATCCTTTCCCGCCACATGGCTTCCCCCCTCCCCCCCATCGCTGCCCAGTCTTTTGGAGCCCTCGAGCTGCTTTCCTTCTCTCCTTTTTTTCCGACTCCCTTTCTCCTGCTTCAGCATTGACAACACCACGTTCAACTTCCTGTACGTCACCGCGCATGTCCCGGAGCAAGCACCCCCCACCAACGCTAAGCCGCTTTCCTTTGTTGGTCTTTCCTTTGTTGGTCTTCCCTGTGTCTCCCTTTCTCTCACAGTGTTGACAACACCACGTTCAACCTCCTGTACGTCATCAGTGTGATGCAAGTCCCGGAGCAAGCACCTCCCACCAACGCCACAATCACCAGCAAGCAGAACGACACCGTGCTCTTCATTCCAGCCACGTGGCGCGAAACCACTGGTCAGCCGGGATTCAAGATGGAGGATGGTGGCATGATGAATTGCACTGATGGGATGATGAATTGCTCTGGTTACAGTTACGCGGCTGCGGGGTACTGGCCCAATGTGAATCCTACTCTTGTTGATCTGGTGACCAGGATGGTTGAGGATCCCGAATCTTACAGGGCTCATGTGGCGTTGCCGTCAGGGGAAGATGTGAATGGGAAGTTTGAGCTTGCGTGATCATTGATCTGTTATGCACAGGTCTGGTGTTTCCGATGTATGAACATGCTTATCCTGAGAATGGTTGCTAACAGGATTTTCTGCCCTTTAAACTAGTGCTGTTCAGGGGTCCTTGCACTCTGCATTGTAGGTGTAGAGAAAGTAGATGTTGGAGGGAAATATCCTGAAACTACCGTACAACGTTAATCTCAATTTGTTTTCTAAAACACTATCTATGCATTTTCTCATCACTGTACCGGAGATCTTCACTACAGGTAAAATTGTGCTGCATGAATATGAATGATGTTGCTGCCAACCTTATGGAGATTGCCGTAGAAATCGCGAGGCTTCTGTCAAGGTCTTCGAGGTCAGTCTTCGTTCATGGCCGCCAATCGCGCGAAAGCAGCCGATAGGAAGCTCATTCGAGCTCCGCCGGGACCGCCGCGGATTAGTACAGCCTGCTGGACTGGCATGGCCGGTTTCGTGATTGAGCCGAGTCGGCCAATATCGCCGACGCGATTGCCAATGTTTGGTGAGACACGTTGGATTGGCACGTCTGCCTCGGATGTGCTCGATTCCGCCTCATCAGGCTGTCAGAAGAGCAGCGCCAATCACGCCGTCGGAGGATCCATGAATAGCCTAGCCTAGTTAGCGCCAAGCCCTCCTGATTCACGCCATTAAAACCGGAGTCTCACAGGATTCGAAGTTGGGACTCCGGTTTTAAATTGAATGGCCTCGTCCACCCTTCGATTTCAACCACGTTGTGCAGCGCCGTTCAGTCGCTCCGTACCAGGCTTCTTTAATCCCAGCGACCTGATCGTAGGAGGCTTGTATCGAACTGCGCGGCCTTGAAGCCGTACCGGCTCGGTTCACAAGGAGGATCTCGAGGAAGTGCAGCATGCAGCACACAGTGTGTCGAGGCGCCTCACCTTGCAACCGAGGCGTGTAACATTCTTCGAGGTTTCGAGTCGGTTCAAGAAGAATCTGGAGTGACATCGCGGCGGTATTGTTGTGCTAATGGAGGTGATGTTAAGGTAGAATACCGAGGTGCTTCAAATCGCCCCTGGATCCTCAGTCGAGTTCTCCTCCGTCGGATGCTTTTATCCTTGTCGCTTGCCACGTCAGCCACGCTCTCCGCGCTCAACTTGCTGCATCCGGCTTCCGGCTCTCGGCCTTAGACTCTCCGCTTCTGGAGCGACGATGGATGCCCGTTGAGTTTCTCGCGCCGCTCGCGTTTCCGCACAAGATTGCTGCTACTATAAAATCATTCCAGTGAAAGATCGTATCGCAGCGACTTTTCGAGGCCTGTGTCCCTCGCTCGTCCGTGTCTGTCATCTTTAGCCGCGGCGTCTCTTCTCTCGTCTCCTCACTCCTCGTCTTCTTCCTCCTCTGTCCCACTCCAGTACCTGCTGGGATCCGTCTGTATTTGACTCTCAACGCGCACGGGAGCAGCCATGGGTTTCCTGACGCTGCTGGTCGTTTTCTGCGCTTTAGGTATGCTATGCTATCCCCGCTATGTGCAATTCGTTTCTGGTTGAGGTTGTGACTTCCTGTGGGAGGTTTCACCTTGTCTGTTCGCACTGCTTGTGTCTTGCTGCTATTTACAATTCCGAACACTCGGAGAAAAGAGTCACACAATTGCTTCGCTGGTGAATTGTTGAGCTTTCGTTGGTGGACGATTGAGCTGGTTCCATACCTATCCTTCCTTCCCTGATTTGCTCTTTCCCGACTTCCATGTGACCCGGTTACCCTGTTTCGCCCTCTTCGTGAACCCCAGCATCCGCGTGCGCCCAACAGCCCCCAGGGGGAGGGGGCGGAGCACCAGGGGGGGGAACGCCTGTGCCAGCAGGGGGAGGGGGCGGAGCACCTCAGGGGGGCGGAGCACCAGGGGTGGGAACGCCTGTGCCAGCAGGGGGAGGGGGCGGAGCACCTCAGGGGGGCGGAGCACCTCAGGGGGGCGGAGCACCTCAGGGGGGCGGAGCACCTCAGGGGGGTGGAGCACCTCAGGGGGGCGGAGCACCTCAGGGGGGCGGAGCACCAGGGGGGGGAACGCCTGTGCCAGCAGGGGGAGGGGGCGGAGCACCTCAGGGGGGCGGAGCACCTCAGGGGGGCGGAGCGCCTCAGGGGGGCGGAGCTCCTCAGGGGGGGGGAGCACCTCAGGGGGGCGGAGCTCCTCAGGGGGGGGGAGCACCTCAGGGGGGCGGAGCACCTCAGGGGGGCGGAGCACCTCAGGGGGGCGGAGCACCTCAGGGGGGCGGAGCACCTCAGGGGGGCGGAGCGCCTCAGGGGGACGGAGCTCCTCAGGGGGGGGGAGCACCTCAGGGGGGCGGAGCTCCTCAGGGGGGCGGAGCACCTCAGGGGGGCGGAGCACCTCAGGGAGGCGGAGCACCTCAGGGGGGCGGAGCACCTCAGGGGGGCGGAGCACCTCAGGGGGGCGGAGCACCTCAGGGGGGCGGAGCACCTGGGGGGGGAGCAGCCCCAGGGGGCGGAGCAGCCCCAGGAGGAGGAACGCCTGTACCAGCGGCGGGAGGCGGAGCAGCAGGGGGAGGAGGCCCTGGGGGGCCTGGGGGGGCTGGGGCAGCAGGGGGAGGGGGGCCGGGGGGGCCAGGGGGTGCGCTTGACAAGGTTGGGAAGAAGGTTCCGCGGGTTGCGCAGCAGCAGCAGCAGGGGGGAGGGCCGGGGGGGGCAGAGCTGGGGGACCTCTATGGTGCGTGTCTATTCGTGGCTAGGCTCTGACCGATGGCCCCCCCAGGCCTCCCATGCTCGCTTGCGCTGTTCCTCTTCCAACTGCTCTGCCTGTCCGCAGCTTTCTTATCACTTCCATTCATTCACCACCTTATCTTTCCACACTCCATGACTACTTTACCTAGCTCACGTCTCTTCCCCTGTCCGTTGCCCTTGGTTCTCCCTTCCTCTTCTCTTATCTCTTCCATGTCTCTCTGGTGCTTGTCAATGATGATTGTTCCAATGGCTGTGCGCCACGTGGCAGCCCATCTGGAGGGTGAGCTGGAGGGGCAGAACAACGACGACATCGAAGGGGAGATCCACCTCTACACCTTCCGGTAAGTCCCTTCCGGTAAGACTCATATGCACTCTTGGAAGCTGTGCCGTACCTCCCATGAGACTCTCTGGTCTGCAACTTACCCGTCCGGTCAAAGGTCAGTGCTCATGGCTGCTTCTGAGGCAAACCAAACGCCACCTTTAAAAGGGGAGACTGACCTCCACTTCCCCTGGTAGTTTGAATGATGCGGTGGGCCACAAAAAGGGGAGATCCACCAAAAGTCACCTTTTGTGAGTCGACACAAAAGTCACCTCAAACCAAACGCCACGTAAAAGGGGAGATCCACCTCTACTTCCTCTGGTAGTGTCAATGATACGGTGTGCCAGCTGGTTGTGAAGACCAGATCAGTTGCCGGTTTAAGTAACTCATGCTTGTTGATTCCACAAGAACTCATGGAATTGAAGTTTAAGCATAGCAATAAATAACGCCAGAAGTTCGCCGTTTACTCTGTTCCCATATCCTCGGCCTTAATACCCTCTCCCTTCCCCTCACACCCTTTTTCCTACCCTCCCAAGCAGCGCCACCAGTGGCGTCTTCAGCATGCTCTAAGTCCTCTCAGCCAAGCAGCTTCCCCAGTAGTCATCTCTCTCTGACACTCCTTCCCCCCCACATCCCGCTCGTCCCCGTCCCCTCCCCCGCGTCCTCCCCCCCAAGCAGCACCTCTTCTGGAGCCTTCAACGTGCTCTATGTCCTCACAGTCAAGCAGCTCCCCCAGCAGTCCCCCCCCACCAACGCCACCATCACCCGCGGCCGCTCCGTCGCCCTCACCTTCCCCGCCACGTGGCGCGAAACCACTGGCCAGCCGGGCTTCAAGCAGAACGACGCTGATGATGACGACGATGGGGATTGCCCGGACGGCAAGTGTTACAGTTACGCTGCGGTTGGTTACTGGGCGAATGCGGATAAGACAATTACCGATGTGGTGAACGGTATGATTGCGGATGCCACGGCGTATCAAGGGCACATGACTTTGCCTTCAGGGGAGGATGTGAAGGGAGAATTTGAGCTCGATTAAAGCTGCATGGCATGGTGTGTGAGTGATTTTTGTGGCTCCTGCTGCTGCTGGTTGGTGTGAACGGTATCTCAGAAACAGGGATTGTATGGAAGGGGAGTGGCCGGTTGTGTAGGTTACATACAGGGAGGGAGGGTAGGGTAGTAGTAGATGTGTTTGTGAGTGGCGCTGCCTGTTGGTGATGGCTGTATATGTGCCGTGCAATGAGCAATCAAATGAATCTGAATGGAAAAGGCAAAAGAATGTTGACATTGCAACCTGAAAATTAGTAGAATGGGTCAGTTGAATCTGAAAAGGGTTCCTGTTATACATAAATTTGTTCAGCAGAGCCGAATGTAAAGCCCTTGATAGAGTCCATTATTGAAACCGGGTAGAATCATGCTTCCGACTGCTGACGTGACTGGTGATGTGGCTGCTGCTGTTGATGCGAGTGAAGCTGCTGAAGCCGCTGCTGCTGTGGCTGCTGTAGGCACTGCTGCATGGTGGTGAGGCTGCGACAGACGGCCCACAGAAACGGCTGACCCAGAGCATCGGCAAGAGAAATGTGGAGCCCTCTACGAATTTTATTATTCAAAACCAGGAGAAATCATGCGTGTGGCGGTTGATTGCTGCTGTGGCTGCTGTGGGCGCTGCTGCATGGCGGCAAGGCTGCGGCAGACGGCCCACAGGAAAGGCCGACCCAGAGCATATGCATGAGGAATGTAAAGCCCTCTACAAATTCCATTATTCAAAACCAGGAGGAATCATGCATGTGGCTGCTAGCTGCTGCTGCTGTGGGCGCTGCTGCATGGTGGCAAGGCTGCGGCAGACGGCCCACAGAAACGGCCGACCGAGAGCATCTGCAGCAAACAGTGATGTGGGGCGAAGAGGGAGCAGGTGGAATGAGGCGTGGTGTTTTGAAGTGTCATGCCAAAAGAGGGAGCAGGTGGGATAGAGCGGAATGGTGGTAAGGCAGACAGACCGAGGGAGGGAGGGAGAGAGATACATGCATGGCACGAAAGATGGACAGGAGGACCGTGTGAGGGAAAGAGGGGGACGGCGACAAGTAAGCAAAACGCCAACTTTGGGTTACAGTGAGAGTGAGCAGAAAACACTGGGGCACAATTTCACTCACTCTGACACGCAGGCGACATGAGGTGAGACGAGTAGAAGCTGACCCGTGCCACTCCTGGTAGCACCACATCACACATCACGTCCCGCGCTCTCATTCGCATCCCCACATACGCCGCAAACGCGTCTCCCGCCCCATCACCAGCCTCCCCATCACATGTCCCACCACCCTCACCAACCCCCCCACCACCACCTGCCCCGCCCTGCCCCAGCAGGAAGAAGGCAGCGTGGGGGAAGGAGATGCCCGAGGGGGAGTGCAGCGCATGCGCGAACACTCCTGGCCAGGCCCCCGGGTCACTGCGCCTGCTCTCCTGTAGTATAAGCGCGTTCAGAGGGGCAGGAGGGCGGGTGGGATCGCCTGTAGCGGTAGGTGCGGCGGCAGGTGTGGCAGTGGGAGGTATGGCGGCAGGTGCGGCGGTAGGTGCGGTACTAGGTGTGGGGGTATTGGCGGCGAGGTGAGTGAGAGTGGCTGCAGCGAGGGAGACCTGGGTGACGGCGGTAAGGGAGAGGTGAGCGGTGACGGTGCCGAGAGGGAGGAGAGTGGTGTCGATGGTTCTGATGAAGAGAGGCCCGCTGTGATCGGGAGGGGAGTGAGGATGGAAAGAGGGAGAAGGGGAGAGGTTGAGAGTATGAGAGAGAAACAGCAAGGGGCGAGAATTGGGAGACGGCGGTAAGGGAGAGGTGAGCGATGCCCCAGAGAGGGACGCCATTCGGCGCAGCACAGCGCAGCGCAGAACAGCGCAGCGCAGCACAGCGCAGCACAGGCGTGGGTCGTGATTCAGTTCGCCCGCACCCTCACCCTCACCCTCACCCTCACCCGCACCCGCACCCTCACCCTCACCCTCACGCCCGCTTCTATCCCCACCCCGCCGCACCCCCTACCCAGCACACCCCCAACCCCCCGCCCCCCCTTGCACCCGCGCACCTCCAGAAGGGTTGGGCATCAAACGGCAGAGAGGCAGCCGGGGCCTGCGGCGCTTGAGAGGCCTGCGGCGCTTGAGAGGCCTGCGGAACGGCTGCCTCTCGTGCCGCTGCTGCGCTTGCTGCCTTTGTGGCTGCTGGTGTAGCTGATGGTTGTGCCGCTGCTGCATTGCAATCAACCGTCACGTCTGCCGCTCCATCTTCTTCATCACCAGTCAGGTCTAGAACAACAGTCGCGTTTTGGTGATTGGTTGAAGGAAGATCGGCCGTTGATTCTCTTCCCATTCTCGATCTAGCTTCTTCGCTCCCGCTCCATTCTGATCCTCCCTTTACTCCTGCCCCCGCTTCTGCTTCTGCTGCCCCTCCTCCTCCTGCTCCACTCCCCACTCCCCCTCGTCCGTCTTTCTTCCCTACTCTCTCTGCTCCTCTGCCTACTCCTCGTCCCACTGACCGGTCGCTTGCACCTCGATCAGAATTGTCCACGTCAGCGATCCGGTTGTCCACGTAAGCCATCAGGGTGTCTGCGTCAGCGACGGGAGGCGGCACACCCAGTCGGATGCATCTGCTGCACTGCCACGTCGACAAGTTCACTCGACCCAAGCAGTACCTGCAGCCACGTGGCGTGAGCTTAAACCAATGTGCTCATACAGGGAGATTCCTTAAAACGAGGTGACACTGAACACAATCGGACTCAATATAGGCGATCCAGGCCGTTGATGCCAGAAAGATCGGACGGTTCTGCGATGACCGTATGCGTGGCCGCGTGCGACGTCGGCGCAGGCGTCGCATGACGTACGTGTGGCGTGCGACTGTATCGCAGGTGTTGCAGGATCGCAGCTTGGCCGGATTCGCATCGCCGCCACAGATACCGCACACCGTTGGAGCCATGAACGGTCGAGATGATACGTCGCAGCGCTAAACGAGCATGCCGAAAGAGCAACTATGGATGGCGGGGTGGGGTAACGGCGAACGGCAAGAAGACTTCTGGGGAAATCATGCACAAAACGAAGGGGAGAAGGCAAGATACAAAAGTGGCTTCGCCCGGACTTGAACCGGAGACCTTCAGTGTGTTAGACTGACGTGATAACCAACTACACCACGAAACCACGGCAACTGAAGGCGCAGTACATTTTTTTCTCATTTAAAAAAAAACTGGTGGGTGCAAGAATCTGATTGATGACCACCATCTACTCCACCAAAACCAGCTAGTGCGCGCGTCGCAGCATCAGGCGCGATGGCGGACACGGTGCAGACGGTGCTGGAGCGCATGCTTCCGGAGCTCGACAGTCTCGAGAAGCAGGGCCTCTTTACGCGCGAGGAGATTAAAGAAATCGTGCGTCGCCGCACCGCCTTTGAGTACCGCCTCAGGCGCCGCGGCAGCGCGGCGATTAAGGACGACTATATGCGGTACATAGAATATGAGATGCAGCTCGAGGCGCTGCGCCAGCTGCGGAGGAGAGACCCGAATCGTCGCCAGGTGCCCGCTTCTCACTTTGTCCGCCTATTAGTGGTTTAAGGACCTTCTTGTGAGCCTTTTGTAGCATCCCCTTTTAGTGAGATTTTCTTCTCGAGGCGCTTAAACCCACGTTCTTACCCACATTCGCTTCCCGCGACCCCCCTCCCCCCGCTATCTCCCCCATCGCGCGCGCAGGCTTTCCGCCAGCGCGCGGACGGTGTGCTGCGGCGCAAGGGGAAGCAGGGCAGCCGCGAGTGGTACCGGCGGCAGCGCGCGGCGGAGCGCGCGAGTGACGTGGCAGTGATCAAGCGCGTGCTCTTCATCTTCTCGCGCGCGACTCGGCGATTTAAGGGCGACCTGGACCTCTGGATGCGCTACCTCGACTTCTGCAAGGCGTCCGGGTCGAGGCAGCAGATGCAGAAGGTACGCTGGTGCTCAGATCGGTTGAGAGGGAGTATCAGGGTTTAGAGGGGCTTAGGAAGGGCGTGGAATGGTTGACAGGGGTTTAAGCAGGTCTCCTGGGCTCAAGGGCGACATGGATTTCTGGACGCGGTACCTCGATTTGATTGCAAGGCTTCGGGGTCAAGGCAGCAGATGCGGAAAGTATGCACAGGTTCAGAGGGGTTGAGAGGGGGTTAAGAGGGTTCCTGAGGGGTTTAAGCCGCACTTTCTCTCTCTCTCTCTCTCTCTCTCTCTCTCTCTCTCTCTCTCTCTCTCTCTCTCTCTCTCTCTCTCTCTCTCTCTCTCTCTCTCTCTCTCTCTCTCTCTCTCTCTCTCTCTCTCTCGTTGTATGCTGCAACCTACGAGATCACCCATTGCATGGAGGCACCTGCGTCCTCCCCCACGTACCCCCGTGCCCCTCTCTCCTTCAACAGGCCGTGGCTCGAGCATGCCTCCACCCAACCGCGCCACGCCGTCCCTCTCTGGCTCTACGCAGCAGCCCACGAGTGCACGCACTGCAGGAACGCGCCGGCTGCCTTCTCCTGTGTTTCCCCTCCCCTTTCTCTCCCTCTCCCTCACCCCCCCCCCCCCCCCCACCAGACAATGGTGCGGGCATTGCAACTGCATCCGACGGAGCCGTCTCTCTGGCTGTACGCCGCATCTGATGAATTCACTAACCGCATGAGCGCGCCTGCTGCCTCCTCCTATGTACCCCCTCCCTCCCTCCCCACTTTTCCCTTCTCCTCCAACCCTCCCCCAACAGACCATGGCACGAGCACTGCAGTTGCACCCCACAGAGCCCTCCCTCTGGCTGTACGCCGCATCATATGAATTCACGCACCGCATGAACGCGCCTGCTGCGCGCACGCTGCTGCAGCGGGGGCTGCGCATGTGCTGCCCTCAGCTCCACACTGGGGGAGGCGGGGGGAAGCCGGGGGGAGCCAAGGGAAGCGCGGGGGGCGCAGGGGGCGCTGGAAAAAGGGCAAAGGGAGGGGCGGGCGGAGGGGCGGGTGTGGAGCGGGCAGGTGTGACGATTTCCGAGGCTGGAAATATTTCGATCGTGCCTGCCCGGGTTTTGGAGGCGTCTCGTCTGTTGTGGAGCGAGTATTTGCGCATGGAGCTTGTTCATGCGAGGAAGCTTAAAGCGAGACAGCTACTACTGGGGATAGAGACGGAGGAAGGGGGTGGGCAGGGTGGAGGGGAGGGGGAGGGCGGGGAAGGGAAAGAGGCAGAAGGGGGAGAGGGAGTGGAAGGTGGGGAGGGCCCGGAGGGGGAAGGGATGGAGCAGGAAGAGGACGGGAAGGAGGGGAACAAGGAGGCGGAGGGAGAGGAGGTTGGGATGGGTGAGGGGAAGGGGGATGGTAAAGGGGATGGTAACAGTGGGAAGGATGGGAGCAGTGGGAAGAAAGGGAGCAAAGGGAAGAAAGGGAGCAGCAAACCGGTTTCAAGTGATGAGCTGGCAGTGCAGGTGGCGACAGTGGTGTGCCGCACCGCAATCAAATCGAATCCCAAAGATCTGCTGCTGCGCGTGGCGCTGCTGGAAGCCCTGCGATTGGGCGGCGGGCAAGCAGAGGCAGAGGCGGAAGAGGAGGAGGAAGAGGAAGAAGAGGAGGAGGAAAAGGAGGAGAAAGTGGAGGAAGGTGAGAGAGAGCAGGAAGGGAAAGAAGGGCAGGAGAACGAACAGGGGGAGAGGGCAGAAGGAGAGGAGGAGAAGGGGGAAGCAAGCGCTAAGGCAGCAGGCACGGAAGGGGGGCAAGGAGCAGAGCAAGGGGAGGGAGCACGGAGGAAGGCGGGGCGGGCGCGGAGGCGGGTGGTAGAACTGAAGGGGTTGGATGCGGTGGAGGAGGAGGTGTGTGGCGGGCTGGCGGCCGCCTTCCCTGAGAGTGCCACGGTGCTTGAGGTGCTGGCTAGGCGGTGCCTACGGCGGGGAAGGAAGGCGGCGGAAACAGAAGAGGAGGCGGAGCAGGCTGCGCTGAAGGTGAGCGGGTGGTGTGAACTGGGTGGTGCTGGGTTGCAGTCAGCGGCCTTCCCTGAGAGTGCCACCGCACTCGAGGTCCTGGGTTGACGGTGCTTGCGGCGGGGAAGGAGAGGGGCGGGAGCGGAAGAGGAGGTGGAGAAAGCTGCATTGAAGGTGAGCGGGTGGTGTGAACTTGATGGGGTTGGGCTGGGTGGGGTTGGGTTGGGGTTGGCTGCTAGTGCAACCACTCGTTGGCGGCATGGCGGCCGCCTTCCCTTACAGTGCCACGGTTGCGATGAGTCGACTCAAAAATGGAGTCATCACAGTGCCACGGTTGCGATGAGTCGACTCAAAAATGGAGTCATCACAGTGCCACGGTTGCTTTCCTGCAGGGGAGCGGGAAGAGGCTGCGCTGAAGGTCTCTTTCTCAGGACTGGACTTTCTCATGCGTGCGGCTGCCTGCCCCCTCGTGTGGCCCCCACATTGAAACCCGTGCTCTGCAGGTGTTTGAAGACGCGTTGGAGAGGCACAAGAGCGAGCAGCAGGCGCCCTCCTCGTTCTCGCTGCTGTGCTGCGCCTATCTCGACTTTCTCATGCGCCTGATCACCGGGGGGAAGGCGTATGGGGAGGAGGGCGAGGGGGGGGAAGGGGGAGAGGAAGGAGAGGGGGAAAAATGCAAGCAGGAACCAATGGAATGTGAGGAAGCAGCGGGAGAGAGGGAAGGAGAGAGAGATGGGCTGCCATTGGCCGATCTGGTGTGCCGAGCCAATGCAGCCATGGCTCTGGCAGAGGTTCGGGGGCTAGGTTCGGACGAGCCAATCGTTGAGCGCCACGTGGCGCTGCTGCTGCGCGCAGGGCGAGCTGGCGAGGCGCTAGAAGCTGCGAGGAAGGTTCTGGGAGCGAGCGGAGGGGTGGTGATGCCAGGCCTGTGGGCTCTGGGAAGGGAAGCTGCGAGGAAATTGCAGAGGGTAGGGAGAACGGTGGGGACTGATGTGACAAAAGCAGCAGGAGGAGCAGCAAGAGGAGGAGGAGGAGGGGGAGGAGCAGTGGGAGGAGGCATGCAGTTATCAGGACCAGTGCGCATTGTGAATTGGCGCCATCCCAAGCTGGGGGATTACTGGATGCAGGTGCGTGTGCTGCATGGGATGGTGAGTGGCGGGGAGGGGTTGGAGGGGGGTTGTGAGCGGTTGTGAGCGGTTGTGAGTGGTTGAGGGTGGTTGCGAGCTCTGTTTGGAGGAGAGCGTGTTTGTGTCACGAGGAAGGAGTGAGAGCACCAGAGCAGTTAGTCATTCAGCCGCTTCATCTCTGCCCCTCTATTCTCCCTCCCTCACGCTCTCCTCCTCTCTTCTTCTCTCCTCCTCCCTCCTGCTCCTCCCAAAGCAGCAAGTAGAGGCAACACCAAGCCTGGCATCGCTATTTTTGAGTCGACTCAAAAATAGGCTCCCTCACGCTCTCCTCCTCTCTTCTTCTCTCCTCCTCTCTCCTTCTCTCCTCCTCCCTCCTGCTCCTCCCAAAGCAGCAAGTAGAGGCAGCACCAAGCCTGGCATCGCTGCAAGCCACAGTGGACTCGCTTATCACAGCAGCAGCAACCATCGTCTCTCCCACCGCTGGGGATGGTGTTTCTGCCGCGCCTGCATCGTCCTCCCTCTGCGCCTCGCCTGCTGCCGCCAGCACTGAGGAGTCCTCATCATCATCATCATCACATGCCAAGGGCCTAGTGGCAGCGGTGCAGTGTGCCGCCCTTGAGACTGCCAGGAGGCGCTTTGGCATCGTTGTCGCCCGCCAGCTGTACGCCAGGTCAGTGCTGCTTTTGAGTCAACTTTTGAGGCGCTTGAAATGCCGCCCACCAGTTGTACGCCAGGTGAGCTCTCTTGAGTCGGCTCTACAGCCACTGCCTGCCGCCCGCTAGCTGTACTGTATGCCAGGTCAGTGCTTCTCCTCAGACTGCTTCTCCTCAGACTGCTTCTCCTCTGCGCACCCACTGCTTCACCTGCTGCTCCCCATCACGCACACCTACAGGTTCTTCTCGCTCCCACTCGCCTCAGTTAAACTCCTCCTGTGCGCCATTCAAATGGAGCGTGATTGGGAGGCGAGTTTGGAGGTGCCTCAATGCTGTTAGAATGAACAGGCAGGAAAAATGGATGAACTAACAGTGAAATCAGTAGAAGTACCTAACCCTGGAATTGTGTACCCCCTATAGGCTAACCCACTGTAGCCTAAACAAGCACAACATATATGATGTTTGACAAATGCGCCCCTCTTTCTCTCGTGTCCCATGTTGCTCCCGTCCCTCGTGCACACTACAGGTTCTTCTCGCTCCCATTCGCCTCAGAGCGCCTCTTCCTGAGCGCCATTCAAATGGAGCGCGATTGGCAGGCGGAGCAGAGCGGGAAGAGGGGGAGTGGGCGGGGGAGTGGTGGAGGGGGGGAAGGGCGGGTGGAGCGTCTGTTTGAGTCGGCGTTGCAGCGATTCGGTGCCGCCAGTGTGGATCTCTGGCTGGCGTACTGCCAATACGCGCTTGAGGTGGGTGGGTGGGTGGGTGGCAGTATGCGGTATTTTTGAGACGTTTCAAAAAGATCTCTGGCTGGCGTACTGCCAATACGCGCTTGAGGTGGGTGCCATGCCATACTGCAGATACGCTTTGAGGTGGATGGGTGGCAGCACTAGAGGGTTTCGTTACCCTCCAGTGGGGATCTCTGGCTTGCGTACCGCCGATACGTGCTTGAGGTGGGTGAATCGCATTTCTGGCCTACTCTCGATTCACCCACAAAGCTGTGCACGTTTGTTCACAGACGCTTGTCGTGTACACTCATGATGCGAGGCACTTGTCGTGTACACTCATGATGCGAGGCACTTGTCGTGTACACTCATGATGCGAGGCACTTGTCGTGTACACTCATGATGCGAGGCACTTGTCGTGTACACTCATGATGCGAGGCACTTGTCGTGTACACTCATGATGCGAGGCACTTGTCGTGTACACTCATGATGCGAGGCACTTGTCGTGTACACTCATGATGCGAGGCACTTGTCGTGTACACTCATGATGCGAGGCACTTGTCGTGTACACTCATGATGCGAGGCACTTGTCGTGTACACTCATGATGCGAGGCACTTGTCGTGTACACTCATGATGCGAGGCACTTGTCGTGTACACTCATGATGCGAGGCACTTGTCGTGTACACTCATGATGCGAGGCACTTGTCGTGTACACTCATGATGCGAGGCACTTGTCGTGTACACTCATGATGCGAGGCACTTGTCGTGTACACTCATGATGCGAGGCACTTGTCGTGTACACTCATGATGCGAGGCACTTTCGAAAGGGAGATCCAAAGCACAGCGAGTCACCCTGATCTCGTTTCACCTCATGAGAATACCCATGAAACGAGATGAGGCAGAGATGACTTCCCTTTCACAGAGTGACTCCTGAGAGTTTTCATGACTGCCTGCCTGTCTCTCTGCCTCCCTGCGTGTCGCTAACACCCAACTCTCAGGTGAACGACACGGGGCTGCCTTGGTCCATCCACTGGAAGGCTCGCTCGCCCGTTGCTGCCGGATGCAGCCGGGTAGACTCGCTCAGAGCCTCTCCCTCCCTCCCTTCCCCCCTTGTGCTGCTGCCTGCCCCCTCACCCACCTCCCCAATTCCTCACACAGGTGAACGACACGGGGCTGCTCTCAACCATCCACTGGAAGGCCCGTCATGCCTTGCCTGATGCAGCCGGGTTCATGACCGCTTATCACCGCATGGTGCACCTCTCGTCGTCCGCTTGATCGTTGGCAAGGGTTGACCTTCCGAGGAATTGAGACGGGTCAAACCGCAGCCACGTTCATGACCGCTTATCACCGCATGGTGCACCAACCATCGTCTGCTTGACTACCGGTATCAGTAGTATCTAGCAAGATCGGATATGGAGAATAAGAAAAAGGTTGAGCTTTGCATGGCTGTAGAGGACTGTTCCTTTTGGATCTGATATGATCTGACATTGCGACTGTTAGCAACTGTTGCAAATGTGGTACTTTCGCCCAAACCAGCCAGACAGATTTGACGATTTCGGATCTTCCTTGGCCTGAGGCTGGCCATGGAGCATTGGGCTACAGCAAACATCACCAACTGCCATCGGCACTTTCAAAATTCATGTGGCACAAATTCCAGCCATCAGATGCCGACAAACAACATGCGGAAATGCTCAATTTGAGTGCCAATAAGTGAAGCACCGTCTACACCAGCGAGCAACCAGTTAGCAACAGCAGCAACCAGTAGAACCTAGTCGTACCGTACCTAACCCTACAATACACGGCTTCTTCGTGCTGGCTAAAATCAGCACCAGGAACCACGGACTAGCAGACACAGCTGCGCATGTTCCTACCAATCACAGGTACAGTAAACTGCACGCTGCAGGCCTTGTCACTGCAGGCCTTGTCACAAGGCCGTGTGCCATATGCATCAGCATGAGCATTGCCTAATCTGAGCACCAGCAAGCACGGTCAACAGACATGGCCGTGCATGCAGCATGCCTTCCCCTCCCAGAGACACACACACACCAACCCATCCCAGTCACAGCTGCGACAGGTTGTGCCAGAAGATAGAGCAGAAATCCGCAAACGCCGCACTAGACCCCGACAGCAGGCACAGGTCCAACAAACTCTCCCCCTTCCCATCCTGCATCAGCACCACTTCAAACCGCAGCCCATCCCCTGCTGCTGCCGCAGCAGCTGCCGCCGCTGCAGCCACAGCTGCAGAGGCCCCTATGCTTTCAAGTGTGAGGCTGGTGAGACTCGTAGAGTTCATCCCCGCCCCTTGCCCCGCCCCACTCCCCGGCCCTATACTTGTCAGAACCGCCCCTGCACCTGTCCCTGCCCCGTCTCCTGCTCCTACTGTCAGCCCCCCTCCCATCTCCCTCACCCCTTCCCTGCCTCCTCCCATCCCTCCCACTCCTCCCCCACCTCCTGGCCCTTCCCCCATGCCCGTGCCACCCATACTGGAGCACTCTCTATCGTCCATGCCGCGGACAGCGAGAGTTAACGCACCATCCGGAGTGTGATTCCGACTCCCATCGTGCATCCCACCTGTGACCGACGAATCCCTCAACCCAGCTGCAACAGTAGCATCATGGAGGCCTGCTGATGCTGCTGCTGCCCCCATGGGCCCGGATTTTTCTAGAATTTGGTTGAAAAGGCGGAGTTTTTCCCGCATCTGTTCCTGCTGTAGCTGCTGCAGCTGCTGCTGTTGCTGCTGCTGCTGTAGCATCAGCTGGTGCCGCTGCCACTGCTGCTGCTGCTGCAGCAGTTGCTGCTGTTGGAAAATCTGCGGCTGCTGCTGCTGCTGCTGGTGCTGTTGTTGTTGCTGCTGCAACTGCTGTTGCTGCTGTTGGTGCAGTTGCAGTTGCTGTGCGTGTAACAGATGCTCACTCACCCCATTCGGCCCATTCACGAAAGCCCCCCCATTACCAGTCCCCATAGCAGCAACACCCCCACCAGAGCTACCGTTGCTGCTGCTTCGACTACTCCCTAGGGCTAAAGACAGGGATACATTACAGGAGGAGGGGGTAGAGGGAGAAGTTACCCCTCCAACGCCGCTCCCATCCCCAAACCCTGCCCCTGCACCCATCCCATACCCACCACCGCCACCAAGCGCACTCAACCGCGCAAAACCACCCACCCCCGCACCTGCCGCAGCAGCAGCCGCTACAGCCGCTGCTACAGCCGCCGCCGCAGCAGCAGCAGGCCCACCCCCCTGAGCCAGCTTCTTTTGCGCTGCAGCAAGTGCTTCAAACGAAGTGGCGGCGGGAATGGCCTGCTCTATAAGCACAGGGGACGAGAGGGACCCTGTGAGAGGTCTAGGCGGGGAGAGGGAGAGCAGGGCGGCTACCCCGCCACGCTGGCGCTTCTCCACGCGTTCACTAATCGCAGCGCGCCACCTGTACTGCTGCTGCTGCCGCCGCCTCTGTAGCTCCGCCTCTTCTGCTACAGCCGCTACAGCCGCCTCTAGACACCCCTGGTAACGCAGCGCTGTTGCTACAGGCGGGTAGGGGGCATAGCAGAGGAGCACGTAGGGACCTGATGAGGCTGTGGAGGAGGAGGTGGAGGGGTTGGAAGGGGGTTTTCGCTTCCATTTTGCGCCGGAACGGTGGAGGGAGATGCAGACCCGCATGGCGGCGTCCCACCACTTGGTGGCTCCCGCGGACGGGGCTGGCATGGGAGGGTTCGCAGCTGCTGCTGCTGCAATCACGTTTGCTGCGTGCCCCGCGGAGGTCGCCGCAGCGTTGGCTGTATTCGCTGCTGCGGCGGCTGCTGCGGCTGCTCCTGCTGCGGCGGCGGCTGCTGCTGTGGCTCCGCCAGTGCCCGGAGCAGCAGTAGCGGCGGCAGCAGCTGCGGCGTTGGCGCCAGCAGCAGCGGCAGCGGCGCTGGCGGCGGCAGTGGAGGCAGCAGCGAGAGGCGCGGCAGCAGCAGCGACGGTGCTAGTATGGGAGGCCTGAAAGAGTGGAACGGCAGGGGTCCAATTCGCCCTGCCCCATATCCGCTGTAATAGCTGCCCGTCTTCCGTCCATAGCGCCTTCTGCTGCCCCTGCCCCTGCCCATGCCCATGCCCGTGCTGCCCTTGCGCCCCCCCTTGTCCCCCTGCCGCTCCCCCTCCCCCGTCCCCTACACCCCTCCCCTTCTTCCCGTCACCTCCCACCCCGCCGCCGCCGTTACCACCTTCCCCTCCCGCGCCCGCACCAGCGAACCTAGCCGCAAAGGCCTCTTGCACCCAATTCCCCGCCAGCACCGCGCGTCCCTCCCCCGTCACCCTCACCGCCTGGAGGTTCGAAATCGCCGTCGCGTTCAGCTGTAGCGGCGCCGCCGGCCGGCCGGCGGCCGTGTCCTCCTGCAGGCGGATCAGATCGGACGGCAGGAACCACGGCAGGAACCACGGATGCCGTCGGATCTCGGGGATCGTGGCGCGCATGGTAGGATCGACGACTAGGAGACGCGCTAGGAGATCTTGCACGGCGGGGGTGACGTGCGTGGGGCGGGAATAGGCGCCGGCTTTAATCTTCTGGTAGAGCGCCACGTGGGACTTCTCGTCGAAGGGGAGGCGGCCGCAGAGGAGCGTGTAGAGCACGACGCCGCACCCCCACACGTCCACCTCCGGGCCGCAGTAGAAGCGGCCGCTGATGACCTGTCGGCATAGAGACGGATGGATAGGTGTGAGGGCAGAAGTACACATGCAAAGTGTTTTAGTTGTGACACGACGCCGCAACCCCACACGTCCACCTCTGGGAGGAAGTAGAAACGACCAGTGATGACCTGCGGGCAGAGAGAGGGACGGATGAGAGAGCAGTGGATAAGTGTATGGGATGTGGCACGCCGCCGCACCCCCACACGTCCACCTCCGGGCCGCAATGAAGTTGGTAATCTACAGAGGGAGAGATGATCGGCAGACGGAGCAAATGCGGGGTGAGCGGTGGAGTGCGACGGCTGAAACATGAATGAGGAGAGAGGCGCGGGGAGAGGAGGGAGGGGGGAGAGGGGACGGGAGACGGGACGGGAGAAGGGAGGGACGAGGGGAGGGGAGAGGGGAGGGGAGTGGGGAGGATAGAGGAGAGGGCAGAGAGGAGGGTAGAGGGGAGGGGAGAGGAGAGGGGAGAGGAGAGGGGAGGGGAGAGGGGAGAGGAGAGGGGAGGGTAGACTGGAAGGAGGGGGGGAAGAGAACAAGGCAGACGGGGGCAAGTGTAGGAGGGAGGAAGATTTCGGAAACTAGACTCGGACGTAAGAACTCCATCTTTCCCTGTCGCCTTTGAAGCTGTTTAGCCGCTTACTTGTATGCGCCTTTGGTTCGGTACAACTTGGTGTTTACATTTGGTACTTCTTTTCTACAACGAAAAACACATCATTTACGAGCAGCTACCCCAGCCACTGCTCCCAACTTTCTCTCCCATTCTTCCGCCCTTCGCCCCGCGGCTCTCCCACTCCTCCACAGTTCAGGATGAGCCCGTTCATAAACAAGTGCAGAATATGCACGGCCATGAGGTTCCCCATCCTGGTATGCGCAGCAAGGCAGGCAAGCAATACTCACCTCGGGAGCGGCGTAATTCGGCGAGCCACAACTCGTCCTCAGAAAATGCCCCTCGGTCATGAGGTTCCCCAGCAAAAAGGCTCCCCAACCTGATAGGAGCAGCGAGGCAGGCAGGAGAGAGAGACCCACCTCAGGCGCAGCGTAATTTGGCGAGCCACAACTCGTCCGCAGAAAATGTCCTTCGGTCATGAGGTTCCCGAGGCCGAAGTCGGCGATCTTGACGGTCCACGACGCGTCGAGCAGGATATTCTCGGGTTTGAGGTCGCGATGGACCACCATGCGGCGGTGGCAGTACTCCACTCCCGCCACGATCTGCTGGAAGATTCGCCGCGCCTCGCCCTCCGTTAAGCGCCCGCGCTGCGTGATGTAGTCGAATAGCTCACCGTTTTCGGCGTATTCCATTAGCAGGAGGATGTACCTGATGAGGGGTGGGGGTAGGGGGGATTGGGGGCACGGGCGTTTAGCAGGTGCTCAATAACGGGGACGTGGAGGGGACGAGGTGAAGGGACACCGGGTAGGGGTGATAGGACGCGCAGCTGCGACGTGGTGGTGGGAAATAGAGAACAGCCCGCCGGCAAAGTGGACCGGCGAGCTTACTTGGGCGTCTCGACGACGTTGTAGAGACGGATGACGTTGGGATGACGCACGCGGAGCAGAATGCTGATCTCCCGCCGAACCTTATCCTGCATCCCCAGCTCCACTATCCGTTCCTTCTTCAGCGTCTTAACGGCTACCTTTCCGCCCGTCTGCCGGTGCTCCATCAGAAACACCCGTCCGAATGAGCCCGCCCCCAGCTGCATTCGCGGCGCGTACATCGGCAGCACCTCCTCCACGGCTCGGAGGGACGGCAGCCGCGAACTCGTCTTTCTCGAGTCCATTTTGAGGGATGGTGAGGGATAAGTGATTGTTAGGAGGTTAGTGAGCTGATAGTAATTATTCTGACGGTCGTTTCCGAGATTTACTCCAGGTTGTCGGAAACGACAACCAGAATTGGTTCGTTAGACCGGACGGGCTAGACCGGTCAGTATTCAGGCAGTTCGGTAACCGAGGATTGAGTGTAGTGTTGAGCAGGGTTACAACTCTGTCATAATTCAGCAGCTTCACGAATCATTCGGGGTGCCTCGTTAACGGCATGCAACTCCGCGACGGAATCCATCGCATAATCTAGGGCCTTCTGTTCTGATTTGACTCCTACTCTAGCAGAACTTGACGCTAGATTGACGGTCATTCTCCCATATTCTAACTAAACATATGCTCGGCGAAAAAGAGCAACAATCACCGGCACATGTGGCTTGAAATTAGACGCATAGAGAAGAAAACGTCAGCTGTCAGCCACGCCAAACAAGTCGCGGAATTAGGGTTTCTATAGGTATGATCAGGGAAAGCCAAGTAGCTGAAACAAGCTAGTCAGAAAAAAGATGGAGGCGAAAGAGAAGAAGCAATTACCTAGGCTAGGTTAAATACTGATGGCAGAGGAAACCGTCATGGTTGTTGAGATGGCTCGGGGAGTTCTCGAGCCTGTACCCATTACCTCGGCCTAATGCTTCGGCCAAAACACTAGCGAGATGGTACCGCAAGATGTTCTCGAGCCTAGCTCGTCATACCAAACGTACTGGCATGGAGGGATGCTGCTGCAACAACCGTGGGGTGCGTGGCGGGCGGGTCAGGCACATCTGCCAAAAAGGCCTATCGCTAGAACATGTGGCGACATCCTGATTCGCTTCGGCGATAATGTGACGAGGGTGACACGCGTGCCACGTCACTGGTAGCTGGGAGGATAGCTTTCTTCGATTCAAAGGTACTCATGAGGGGCACTAAACAGATTGCAGCTGTCACTGGTTCACCGAGGTACCCAAGTCAGCTTAGCAAATAATTATGTCATGCATATTTGAAGTGATTGAAACTTGGAAGCACTTGTGATACTCTGTAATGGGAGATGAGCCTTTTTGGCAGATGGCAGCGCTTCACAGCACTGATTCTAATATTTCACACAATACAACAAACTAGCATTCCACTCACATACGGTACATGTTTAAAAACCTGGATCGTTTACTTCTTGCAATGGAATATTTTCGCCATCCATTTCAACTTCTAAGGGCTTCTTCCTTCCCTCGCGGCTGCAGCAAAAAAAAAAGTTCAGATACACGCATGCAAGGAATGAAACCACAGAGTACGCGTATAAAATATTGCAAGGTCGACTCGCACAACCATTCATCACCTGATTGCATAGTAGATGCAAAGTTGGATGATGCCGAGAATCGAACCCAGGGCGTTTGGGACCTGAAAGCAACAATACACAGTAATGACAATGTTGAATGCACAGATTCTGTTGGTTCAGGGTTAAATGGTTTGAGCAACAAGTGTGAGAAGCTGTCAAAACAACGAGGGCTCAAAACAACTCTGAACAACATACAAAAAAAAAAAAGCTACATATGAGCACCCTCCTCCCATCTGCCCCTCTCTCATATGTCCCCGTCTCATCTGCCCCCCTCTCACCTGTCCCCCTTTCACCTACCCACTTCTCTCCTACCCTCTCTACTGTCCCCTTCACTCCTCCCCCTTCTCTCCTACCCCCTTCACTACTACCCCCTTCTCTCCTGCCCCCTTCTCTCCTGCCCCCTTCTCTCCTGCCCCCTTCTCTCCTACCCCCCTATCACCTACCCTTCTCTCACATTACCCCTGGGTAAAAGTTGACTTACAACCACGTAACTGTCTCGCAACTCACAATCACGTAAGTGTCTTGCACGTAGATCCCATAGGCCATCCATGCCGTGCTACAAACGAATGACATGAGTGAAAGTGGCAAAGGCATAAACTCCACGCTGCGTGTCCTCAGCACCACAGACTGCCACGTGTACATGCATCACAATGCACACGCATGCATTTACACACACACACAGACACATGCACACTCACACACGTACACCCACCCACCCCTCCCTCCCCACACACACATGTATGAACAAACACAATATCACACCACCCTGCCCCACAGCCGATGTGTATGCAGTAGTGGATGGAGAGATGTTCAATGGATGTGATGTGACTGTGCTGGACGGAGCGAAAAAAAAAAAAAAAAAAAAAAACATGAAAATGTCAATGACCCAGCAGAAAGGATGTCGTTCAACAGTGCTGGGAAACAACAGCGCTGAAATGGGAAAGGCACAGTTACAAATGAGCTGAGTGTGATGGCAAATGTTGTAAATGAGCTGAGTGTGATGGCAAATGTTGTAAATGAGCTGAGTGTGATGGCAAATGTTGTAAATGAGCTGAGTGTGATGGCAAATGTTGAAAATGAGCTGAGTGTGATGGCAAATGTTGAAAATGAGGTGCAAGAAGTCATGCGCGTCCTATGCACAAGGACACGCACGAGCGAGAGGTTAGAGAGTCTGCCAGGGTTGGACAGCTGCAGGCAAGGCACGCTGCATGAGTTTGGAAAAGTTACCAGGGATGGACGGACACCCACCAGCGAGGAGAGAGGAGCGCCAAACATGATGACAGTGAAGAGAGTGGCTAGGTTTCCAGCCACAGCAGTGCGGCTGGGTGGAGGCACGATGGTGAAGAGGAGAGCTGTGAAGAGCAGCAGAAAGGTGCAGAGCACCAGCAGCTGCTGCCGCACTTGGCTCTGCGAATGGGTGCGAAAGGGTGAGTGCGGTGAAGGGTGGAATGGGATGAGGTGCAATGCTGAGATATTGACTTCCCAAACAGAGAAGTAGTGAAGAGCAGAAGAAAGGTGCAGAGCACCAGCAGCTGCTGCCGCACTTGGCTCTGCAGATGGGTGCGGATGGGGTAGATTGCGGTGAAGCAGGGTGCAATGGGATGAGGTGCACTGCTTGGAATGTGAAATCTCCGAACAGAGAAGTAGAATGAGCAACAGCAGTTTTTTGTTGGATAATTGAGAACAACATATCCAGCTGCGCATTATAGCGACCAGTACTGTCTCAAGCAACAGCAGTTTTCAAGTGCATTGAGACTGTTTTGTTACTGACTCACCTGAGCTTTGTCCTTAGCGTAGCGCACGAAGAGCACGAGGTAAACCAGTTGGAAGGCCACGCCGATGACATTGGTAACAAGCGGTGGGAAGCGGTTGGGAGTGACGAACGGGAGCGCGTAGACCGTCCAGACGAAGCAATTGAGCAGCGTGGACACGTACGGGAAGGACGGGAAGTCCTCCGTGCTTCGCCTGCTGATGATCCGCTGAAAGGTCTTACTGCGCAGGACGCGTGGCGGAACGGAAGGGGACGAAGAACAAGGGAGAATTTGCGACGGTTAGAAGCAGAGGTGGAAATTGATAACTTGGCGTGCCTGTGGAAAAGGATATCTGGAGTATGGCGACAAAATGAGAAGATATCGTCCCACTTCGCGCCAGCGGGAAGCGACAGAGTCTGATGACCGCTAATTAAGCATCATGCTAAGCGGAGAAAGAGTTGTGATGGGATGGGTTCACAAGTCCACGGGAGCAGGTAGGGAGAGGCGGATCGATGGCAATGCTATTCTTACATGGGTGATATGAACAGGGCTATGGCGGAGAGGGTTCCGACAAGTCCTAGCGCCGCTTCCCATTGCGGGTCCACGGTCCACGCCATCGCAGACGCAGCGCCGCGCAAGCGACGGTGAATGCCACTTGAAAAATATGTGGTGGGATTAAGGAAACCGAGGTTCTGCCTGAACAGTTACATTAGAACAGTAGTGGAGATATGGAGGGGCCGGAAGGCAATTGCGATTGAGCGACGACTTAGCGATGTGCGCGAGGTACTTCGGGCACTGCCAGGCTCCGTCAGAATGGTAACAGCAGAAAGTCGACGAGAAGAGGTGAGTGTACCATATTTAGTTTGTTTCCACTTTGATTGTATTTTTTCGTTGCTATTTATGCGTCACGCTCATATCGCATACAGTTGTGACTAGATCTTGCGCACGTTGCGCCGTATAATCAGGGACAAACTCATCTGCCATTGAGAAGCTGATATGTGATACTGTAACATTCAAAGAATTTGCTGACCGAAGCTTGACTGCCCCTTCATGTGAGAAGATGTGAGATCTGACGAATGTTTCATCTGACGGCTCAGGTGATCGCTTATCGCTGGCATGACGTGTTTCCTGAACTTGCTGTGCTGTCACTTGTGGGTTGCTCGCTGCTCGCTCTTTCTAAGCGCGCCATATAAGGCGGATCGAGGTACCCGCGACGCGATGGTCCGTGTCAATTTCCACCTCAAACCTCCACATCCAACCCACCAACTACCCCAGCAGCATTTCACAACGCATGTCAATAGCTGTCAACCGATGTCGAACATGCGAATTGTGGCGACAGTTCACGAGTCTTATCCTCGGCTGATTGTAGCTCTTGCGAATGGCCAAATGTTTGCTGGTAGCATTCGCAACAGCGCTGCGATTTCGCATGATTAGTTCGACGCATCGCGCCAGCACAAGCCCCGTCTGGGAGGGATGTTTTTATTTCCATCCTTACAGCTCAACCTGAGTCATCCCAAAGGGCTCTCGCAGACTCGCACAAATACTCGCACGCTTCTCGGACAGCCCAACAGCGCTCAGCAGCAAATTCATGCTCCTCTCTCTTCTTATCCACCCGACTGCTTACAGCAGCACAGCGTCTTGGTACCTCCGACTGAGCCAATATTTCCCAGCCGCATAGTTATCCATTACTGAGCGCCTCGTTGTGCCACTTCCGACACGCATCTCTCTCACTGATTTATAGTAGGATAACTAATGCTGCGCAGGCGAATGGTCGATCGAACTCGTAGTGCAACACACGCATTCGTACTCGCAAACACGTTCTCACAGACTCCAAGAGATTCCCCAGCGAAACTCTCTTTGTACGCTATTATACGATGCCTCCGAGTCTTTCCACCAGTTGGGGGCGCGGAATGATTGTTTTGGCGGGCCTACTGGCGCGTCCGTTATCAACGCTGAAGGAGGAGGGTCCGTTTTCGGCGAGTCGTCGCGACGCCACCCACCACCACAAAACAACACGTGGAGAGAACGAATCCGGCGAGGAAGGGATAGAACATAAGTGTGCGACAATTGAAACGTCTCACGAGTCGAGGGAGGAGAATTGCCATGACGGTGGCATGTTAATGGCATCATGCGGAGAGGAAGAATTCGAAAAACGGATGGAACAGAAGTGTGCAAAATCCTCCCCATTTGGCCGCGTCTCCCCGTCATGCGTTGGAGCTGCCCCCCACGCCTCCGCCGCCGCCGCCGCTACCGCGGTCGACTCTTTCACACTCCCAGAAACACTCGACACGAGCGGTCTCCATGAGTTGGCGGGACAGCGAAGCAATGAAGCCTCCGACATACCAGGGATTCTGTCCGATTCTGAGGAAGAAGTTCCTTACAAGGACGAGGTGATGTCCAGCTCGGCAACGCTTGATTCGTTAACAGCCGCCGCGCTAACGTCTGAAGTCGTAGCTGAATTCGACCTTAATAACACGGATTCTGACGAAGACTCGGCCAGCGATCATATGGAGCAGCCTGCACGCCTCACGTGTGACGCTGCGTCATGCTATAACGAGAATTCGGATGAGGATATTGACGTTGACGCTATCGGGGCTGACCCCGCGGTCATTCCGCCGCCTCGGAATCTGAGTCTGACTGAGACGATCGCTTCCGGCGATCATGACGAGGCTGGATCAGCATCCGCCACCGTGGCAGAGGACACGTCAGCACTCACGTCGAACCCATTCCCGACGGTAACCACTTTCATCCGCCACCAACGGCGCGAATTCCGCATGCACATGGCGCTGTCGCGGATCCAGCGGCGCGTGCACGCTTGCTGCGGGAAGATGCGCGGCGGAGCATGGAACCCCTCGAACAGAGCGACGCGTGGAGGATGGGGGAGCAAGGGGAGACGCCACGGCGCGTTGTCGCAGGACCACGTGCCTTGCAAGGGAGTTTCGAGGGTGCAGCTGGCTCTGAAGAAGCGGCAAGGTGGCTTGGGACGAGCCATGTCGCCACATGCTCAACTGAGCAAGAGAGCTGGAACTCGGGGGATGCCACCGCACCAGGGATTCTCAGGTGGCTCTTCAGGTGAACCTTCAGGTGAATTCTGGGAGAGGGAGTCTGCAGAGGCGAGAATCAAGGCTGCTTTTGTGGTGAAGGTTGGATCGGACGAGGAGGGGGGAACGGGGATGAGGGAGGAGGGATGGGAGATGGGGAAGAGTCTTGCTCTCAGGTCCTTACTAGGCCATGGGTCGCTGGTTCGGGAGGTGGATCGGTGCAAGATGTGCCGAGTCTGGGTCGAGCGAATCAGCCTCGGCGACTGTCCTGCCGAGTCTACTTATGGTGCTGACGTGTGCGCAGCCTTGGATCACGGCCATGACGTCACCGCTGAGGTCAGCCGGCCGATGTCAGAGCACGGGCGGACCGGGATTCACACTGCTACGGAAACTGCTACTGCCACCGCTAGAAGCGAGTCTCAGGGGAAATATATGGGAGAGGGTTTGGGTAGCAACATCAGCGTCGCCAGCACGAACGCCAGCGCTATTAGCAGCGCCCGCAGCAGCAGCACTTATGCGAGCACTTATGTAAGCGGCAGTACTGCTGGGGATGCGATTGGGAGGAGCCTGGCTCTGGGATGCAGCCTGGCGTTCGGTAGCACGCTGGCGATTGCAACTAGCCTGTCTTTCGGAGGGAGTCTTGCCATTGCCAGCAGCATTGCGTTTGGAAGTAGCCTTGCTGTTGTGAGTAGCTGTGCTGTTGATGATAGCACCGGCAGGAGGAGGCGACGTGAAGGGGGGAAGAAGGCAGGAACAGCAGAGGATAAAGTGGGAGCAGAGGCGGTGGGTGGGGAAAACGGGAAGGCGGGGGAAGGGAATGGGGGCTACGAAGTGGAGGGACGAGGGGAGGAAGGGAGAGAAGGTGGTACTGTGGCATCCTTAGTTGCTGCTCATGTGGAATCTTCAGAAAAAATCGACAGGAGCAACGACTCCTCCAATGCTGCTAGAAGCAGCCTCGTTTCAAGGAGCGGAAGAAGGCAGTCAGGCATACTGAGGAGCAGCATGAGGAGAAGCTCCTCCTTCACAGCTCCTCCCACTGTCGCCTGGTTTTCCCCTCCTCTTTGCTACAGCGGAGCGCAGTCAGAAGGGAGCTTCCCAATCGGATCTTCTTCAGATGCTGCGTTTCCCAAATATACGTCTCCTTGCCCTGACAGGCAAGCACAGGCTGAAGGAACATCCGTGAAAGAATCGGTTGAGAGGTGTGGGGAGAGAGGTGAGAGATGTAAGACATGTGAGACGGAACAAGCAGATGAGAGGCACACTGCGGATGAGTCAGAGGAGAGAAAACTGGGAGATGTCAATGATGGGAGGGATGAGATACCGGTACCGGTAACCAAGCGGGAGGAGGTACATGAGATCCTGAAAAAGGCATGCTTCCCGCCCTACGACGTTCACGGGGTGACACTGGTGCATTCTCCAGAACCATCCATCTCGTCTCCCTTCTCCTCCGACTGCCACTGGACGTCGACCAATAGTCTGCTGCCACGTGGCTCGCCCTGGAGCCCGGATTTCAAGATAGCAGATCCAATCATTGAGAAGAGGTGCTCCGGCACTGATAGGCTTAGAAGAGTCAAGTCTTGTTTAGAGTTTTGTCAAACTACAAGCAGTGGTTATGATTGTTTGGATAGCTGGCCCTCATGCCACTTGTAATGAGCACTGTCCTGTTGTAAGCAGTTAGAAACATTCTGTTGTGATAAGTCAAGTCTATTGTGGACTGGTAGTGGAATTATGAATGCATGGAATTCGATTCAGCTGATCTGAGTCAAAGTGAAATGTAAAAATTGCATCTTAGCAAGAGAACTGGAATCAGTAACGCTAAATCATAGAGATTAGTGTGTAGTGCATATAGGCACCCCTCATTAGTGTTCAGGGATGCATGGAAGGTTGACTGCTTACCTACGATGAATGGCTAACGCTGTTACATAGTGATCGCAAGCCGTTGATCTTCTCACATGTACGGCCCAAACACCATGCCAAACGAACAGCTGATCTCCATCGTCCGTCTCCACCGCCCAATCTCCACCGTTCATCCTCACCATTCATCCTCACCGTTTGCAAGCGTACGGCTCAAACAGCGTGAACCACTTCTCAGGATTATGGCGCATGAGCTTGGGAGCGCGGTGGAACTCGCCTCAATCCTCACCGTTCATCTTCCCGAACGTACGGCTCAAACAGCGTGACATACGGCTCGGGGTCGTGCCTCATGAGCTTGGCGGCGCGGTGGAACTCATCCCGCAGCACGCGGATGGAGGCGCGGTCAACCACACGGCCCAGGTCGTGGGCGAGGTCAAAAGGGTCCTCTATGCAGATCAGGTGCCTCTCGTTGCCCACTCGCCTCGTCCACTCCTTCTCCTCCTTGCTGTCAGTGGGGGGGCCGTGGGTGTGCGCATGGGGTCGAGAGGAGGGGAGGGAGGGGATGTATGCGCACGCACAGGTGAGGGAGGGAGAGGGAGCAGGGCACTGCAGCACACGATGAACTCAACCGTGGCGGAAGGCCAGCAGGGGTACGCATGCTGTACTCAAGCAGCAGCCGTGCCAGCAGTTCACCTGAGGAAGCCGCCAGTGCGGATGCTGATGACGCAGCGATTGTAGTCGTGGCGGAAGTCAAACAATCCTCAAAAGCAGCTCCAATACACTCATGGAGCGGTGCAGATGGGAGCGGCATGGCATGGCATGTGGATTCGGAGGTCACCTGAGGAAGCCGCCGGTGCGGATGCTGATGACGCAGCGGTTGTAGTCGTGGCGGAAGGCCCAGTACTCAAACAGCCCCGCCAGCAGCTCGCCCACCGTCTCCCCGTTCGCCGCCCCAAAGCCCTGCAGCGTGTCCACCTTGTCGTAGTAGGAACAAACGACGCCGCCCACCTGCACGCGGTATGTGTGCGGCTGCATCTCCTGGTGATTGTAACGGGGAGGGAGGGGAAAGGGAAAGGGAGGCGGAGGGGGATGCGGAGGTTGAGGGAGGGGGAGGGGGAGGGAAGGAAGGGGGGGAATGAGTGGGTGGAGATTTGAGACTGCCGCTCTGCCTCCATCCGGGGCCACTCATTCCCCCAGTGGCTTGGAGCATGTGATGTGGTACAGAACAGGGCTGCATCCTCTGGTGGTTGCAGGGGGCAGGCGGAGGAGGGCTAGTGGGGGTGTGGGGGTGTTCCATTGAGAGGCAGGACAGAGAGTGGTGAAGGGCAACAGGTTCAACAAGGGCAACAGCACTTGTGCCCTGCCTGACAGAAAACAAGAAGGCATTGCATCATCATCAGCCATTGTACAGTATAAAGCAGTGCGCACCTGCAGGCATGGCAGAATGGGCGGCTGGCGCTGCTGCAGGTAGTGGATGCACATGATGACGTAGCTGCACCGCGGGGAGGGGGGGGGGGGGGGCACGAGACATGGATGGAAAATGAGAGGGGGATGTGGGGAGGGTATTCACGAAATAACTTCTGAGAGTTGTTCCCTTCCCCCTCTCACCGATTCTCTCTCCCTTCTCCCCCCACAAGCCCATAGACCACTCAATCCCCAACCACCCTGAAACCTTCCCAACCCTTCCTCCACACATTTTCCCCCCACTCTTCCCCCACGCCTTTCTTTCTTCCCCCCACACCCACTCCCTCTCCCAACGCACGCATAGGAGGAGAGCGTGCCGCGGAAAGTTTCGTTGATCTGCCTCCGCTTCGCCCAGTGCTTCACGAGGAACGCCAGCTGCCTCACACGCTCATCCAGGCGCCCATAGTCCGCTCACACCCCCAACCCTCCTGAACCTCCCCAACCCTCCTGAACCTCCCCAACCCTCCTGAACCCCCTCAACCCTCCTGAACCCCCCCAACCCTCCTGAACCCCCCCTACCCGCTTCCCCCACTCGCGCCCTCCACACCTTCTCTCCTGCCCCTCCCGCACTCACGCGTAGGAAGAAAGTGTGCCGCGGAAAGTTTCGTTGATCTGCCTCCGCTTCGCCCAGTGCTTCACGAGGAACGCCAGCTGGCGCACGCGCTCGTCCAGGCGCCCATAGTCCGCCAGCAGGCGGCTGTTGGCCACGGCTGCCAGGTTGTTGACACACATGTCACACGCCACCCCCGATGCTGGATCCATGAACTTCACTATCGGCACACGCGCGTGGGTGAGTGCCTGTGGGGGATGCGGAAGGAAGTATGTGGGCAAGGCAGGAGTATGAATGGGCTAGCAGGCCATTGTTGGCGACCACAGCTGCCAGGTTGTTGACGCACATGTCACACGCCACGCCCAATGCTGGGTCCATGAACTTGACTATCGGCACACGCGCGTGGGTCAGCGCCTGCAGCAGGGGAGGGACGGGAATGGGGGTTTGGGGGATGAGGGCTGTTGGCCACAGCTGCCAAGTTGTTGACGCACATGTCACACGCCAACCCCCATGCTGGATCCATGAACTTCACTATCGGCACACGCGCGTGGGTGAGAGCTTGTGTGGGATGAGGGATGGGGAATAGCAGGTGGAAAGGTTGTTGACGCACATGTTGCGTGGCACCCCTGATGCTGGATCCAGGGCATGCCTTCCGCCCTGATGCTGGATCCAGGGCATGCCTTCCGCCCTGATGCTGGATCCAGGGCATGCCTTCCGCCCTGATGCTGGATCCAGGGCATGCCTTCCGCCCTGATGCTGGATCCAGGGCATGCCTTCCGCCCTGATGCTGGATCCAGGGCATGCCTTCCGCCCTGATGCTGGATCCAGGGCATGCCTTCCGCCCTGAGCGAGGTCGCCGTGTTCATGATAACCTCCACGCACGACCCATCCGCCCCTCCACTTCACCTGATGGTTTCCCTATCCTACCCTCGCCTCACTCACCTGCACACACCAGCGCCGTCCCTTCCTCACCTGCACACACCAGCGCCGTCCCTTCCTCACCTGCACTGCACACACCAGCGCCGTCCCTTCCTCACCAGCACACACCCTCACCTGCACGTTCAGCATGCCTCGGCTCTCAATGCGGTCGCCATATTCGTGATCACCTCCACACGCGACACATCTGGGCCGTCCAACGCCAGGCACACGTCCACGTCGCAGTTGCGCACGCCGAACGAGTTGGCGCACGAGCCGTACAGGAACAGCTGCGCGGACGGGTACGTGGCGCCCGCCACGCGCGTGAGCGTGCGCATGAGCTGCTCCTTGCGCTCCGCCTCCTCTGCTGTGGGTTCCAGCGAGCGGAAGAGCGCCAGCAGGTGCGAGTTCAGGCGGGAGAGGTCCACGCGGAGGGACGGCGGGCGGTGGGCGTGCGGGCGGAACTGCACCCCCTGCTGCTGATGTTGCTGCTGTTGCTGTTGCTGTTGTTGCTGCTGCTGTTGCTGGGCTCTTGCCTGAAGTTGCTGCAGCTCCTGCTGCTGCACGCCCCCCTGCTGCTGCTGCTGCTCGGGATGCCTGAACCGTTGGCCAGGGCTGGACCCGGGGGGATGGCGAGGGGCGGCAGTGAAAGCAGCGTGGTGGCGATGCGGATGGATGGGGATACCGTGCTGCTGCTGCTGCTGCCGTGCCTGCTGCTGCTGCTGCTGCTGCTGCTGCTGCTGCTGCTGCTGCGGCTGATTGCGAGACATGTGCTGCTGTCCGTGCTGCTGCTGCTGCCCCGCACGCCCCTGCGGCAGTTGAAACTGACCCGAGTCACCAGTCGGGTCACCAGAGAGGTCGAACGCTTTCATATCTTCCGCCAGCGCCTCCAAAGAATTCCTCACATCCTCCGCGCCCTTTCCAACACCGGCGCCGCCTTCAGCCCCATCCCCCTCCGCGCCTGCTGCGCCTCTCCCCGTCCCGCCGCCACTGCCTTGCGCGCTCATCCCGGCCTTGCCGGGCGGGGGGGCGGAGGGCGAGCCCAGGGGCGGAAACATGTCGTCATTGAATAGCTTGCGCGCTGTTGCCTGCGCCCTTCCCTGCTGCGCCTGCGGCTGCTGCTGCTGCTGTTGCTGCTGCTGGTGGTGCTGCTGAAACTGCTGCTGCTGCTGCTGCTCCTGCTGCGGATACTGCTGCTGCTGCTGCTGGTGAAGGCCAGAGGCTTTCAACTGTGGAGCGGCGAAGGCGTTGCCGGCAGCGGCGAGAAGGTCCATAATCGTCTGCTGGCTCGACGGGCCTTCCAGCGCCGCCACAGCAGCAGGGTCGGTCAGCTGCTCCAGAGTAAGCTCGTCCGCGTTAAAGGCTCCACCGTTAGCATTCGAAGTCACTGCACCCATTATCCCACCCTGCTGCTGCTGCTGCTGGGCAGACGGAAACTGCTGGTGCAGAGGTAACGGGAAGTTTCCTTGAGGCCCATCCGGGCCCAGGGCGCCAGCGCGACGCCACGGGTCCCCTCCCACGTCCAACCCCTCGCCTTCTCTGCCTCCTGTAACCATGCCTCCGTTGCTCACGCCGCCACTCACACCCCATCCACTCCCTCCATCCTCCCTTCGCCCTGCCTCCTTCCCGTTCGCTCCGGCAGCCGCCATTGCGCCACACCAGCGCTTCGTCCCGCTCCCCCTCCGCCTCCGCCTCCCCCTCCGGGCGCAGCCATACCTCCCCGCGAAGGGTTAACCGGCTGTCCCCACGCCCCTCTCCTCCGCCTATTCCTCTATCCGTTTCGCCCTCATTCGCCCCATACGGCCAGTTACTAAGAGACGATCGGCTGGGAGAGCCTCTGCCTGCCTCCACGGACTTTCTCCCAAACGGGGACCCTTCTAACGAGGAAACACGCTGGTCGAACGGCCCGCCGGGATCGGAAAACCCTTGCAAGCGCGGATCACCTCCGTTCAACCCGGGATGCGGGTACGGACCGAGAGACGGACTCCCGCGGCTCATTCCTTCCCCATTTCCTCCAAACCCTCCTTCCCCTCGGAATCTTCCCGGTGCTCCTGCTGCTGCTTCGGTTAGTTTTTGCGAGTTTTCAAAAGTCATCATTCCTTGCCCGAGTGAGAAAGGCTGTCCGCCGCGCATCCCGCCCGGGTCAGTGGGCCTTCCCGGCGCGCGGAACGGAGAGCCATGGACAGGAGAATCGGACCAGAGCTCCTTGAGGTATGACGGCACCTCGTATTTTTCAGTAAGGTTCGGCGCCGCCATGGTTCAACATTTGGTAGATTATGCGGAGCTCGTATCTCGTCAAGGGTAAGCCCGAGACTGTTTGGAGGAGCGGGGAGATTCTGCGAGACTCGTGGGCCGTAGATCTGACCGAGATCGCCGTCCGATTGCGTCGCCGATGGGCCTGACGCGAAGTGAGTGTTGAGAACGCCTCCGGGGAGTGACTGGAGCTGTGCATGTACAGAGTCCACGTATAGCGGAGCACCGGCTTGGCCCTGAAAGCGCTGCTGCTGTTGTTGGTGCTGATGCTGCTGCTGACTGTGCTCCAGTGACGTGGCTACAGGTGGTCCCAGTGCTTGTTGCAGATGACGTGGCAATGCCAGTGGACCTGAGTCAATAGGGAACGGCTGCTGAGTCACGAGCCCTGCGAGTGCCTGCTGCCTCCGCTGCTGCTGAAAATACTCCTCTACCTGCCACGAAAGCATGTGGTCCGTTGATATGCGAGAGTATCCATCTGACGGTGGAGGAGGAGCATCAGGATTCTGATGACGTTGCAGCTGTGGGAAATCTTGCTGCAAGAATTGAGCCTGTTGCTGCTGATGCTGCTGTTGCTGCTGCTGCGGCTGCGGCTGCGGCTGCTGTTGCAACGATATCATCTGTTCCGCGTGCAAGGAACGGCCGATTCCGTTAACTCCTTGCGAGGCCGCAGGAGCTCGCGGAGCTGTCACTTCGCCAGGCATCCCGCCCAATCCGCTGCCTGGAGTTAGCCTAGATAATACCGAATCAATGTAATTCGCTGCGTGTGTCAAACCGCCGGATCCGCCGGAGAGAGAAAACGAATCGTCGCCGAAATTAGGATTGCGGACAGACGGATCAGAACCATGCGCGACTCGCGCAGGACCTAATCCGTACTGCTTCGCATCGGACGGCCCGAAATGCCACGCGGTACCCGCCTTCAAATCATGGTTAGCTACAAGATGGGAATTAATCTCCTGCGCGGAAACACCTGAAGAATCTCCTAACTGCGGACGTGCGTAGGCTGAAGCTGGAGGAACGCCGAAACCCCGGTGGCCACGAGGCACCGGGACCCGATTCGTCCCTCTGCACACCGGTATCCTCGGAAGCCATAGCCTAAGACTAACAATGGCGACACATAGCGCGTAGAAAGGTATCTACATGATATCAATCAGACATGAGAGACTGATCTGGAAGCTCTGCGCTCGCTGCTCCAGAATCGAGGCCATAGGTTTTCCCTGAAGGTTGACTACTGTAGGATCTAGATCGAGCTTCGTTCGGTAAGTTCAAGAATCTTGGGAAGTGGTTGGTTGAGCGAGGCCACTGAGGAAAAGAAACCCTAGATCTGCTCGAAGCACCGAACCCAAACCAAGGAATGCCTCGAACAGGTGATGCCAAACGGCATAAATGTTGAAGTACACTTTGATAGTGATTCTAGCTACGATATGATCGGGATACTACATTTGAGGGTTGAAAGAAAAATGTGGATGTTGGTCAAAGGCTTTGCTCTTCCCAGCTCAAGATCGTTGCACCATATGCGTATACAACAATCTCTTCACACAAAATTTCCACCAATCATTCCATACACTACACTAAGCTGTTGTTTTTGCCTCTCTGAACTTCAAATGTGGTACGTATTGGTGAGAGATAAACCGTAAGGAGGAGGATCTAGGTAAAAAGCAACGCATCACAGGCATCTCTGAGGGATGGAGACTAAACGCATTCATAATGCATCTCCGTGGGCATGTGGGAAAGGTGAATACACAAGACAAGTCATCTAAGCCCCAGCTACAGTATATTTCGTGCACACTTAACATCCTACGCCAGCTGTCCCCGGCATTGCCTTCTGCACACGCGTCTGAACGGCTCCACTGCAACAAGAAGGGTGCAGCCCTTGTCCTCTTCTCTTGACCCTGCTTACCTTGCTCCGACACTCCTCTCCTCTGCTTCTCTATGAGAACCCCCCACAGACTCGACCCCACAGACTCACCCTCACACCCCTCCATAGCCTCGCCCTCGTGCAAGGGCTCCATTCTCGCAAATGTAACAGCCCTCCCACCTGCCAGCTCATGGGTGCCACGCTCTTTCCCCTGCTGCCTCTTGGGTTGCCCCGAATGAACATCCTGCTGGCTCTCGCACCCTTCCTCCTGCCTCTCCACAAGGCTGTGCATCACAGGTGGCACTCCAAGGGAGGCATCAGGCAGCAGGACAGGGCAGCTCCACGCCACTCCCAGGTGGGCCCCCTCCCCCTCTCCCCCCCACCCCCTCCTCTCCTTCCTCCCCTCCTCTTCATATTCCAACCCAGACGACTTGCACTCTGAAAGAAAGCTCGGCATTTCCTCCAGGCGGCCCTCCGCACTGTACGGATTCCACAGAACGCCACCACCTGAGGATTCACCTGAAGCCTTGCAATGATTCTCAGGGTTCTCAGAGAGCAAGGCTTCCTCAGCAAAGCAGTCACTGCTGCCGCTACTGCAACCTTGCTGCACGGCACCACTCGTGCTCTTCTCCACTCCACCATCCTTGCCACTCGAGCTCGAGTCCATCTGACTTGATTCCCTGCTCTCACCAGAGCCATCATTCTTCGTTAT